TGTTCTTTTTTTTATACACCGAAAAAGAGAATAATGGAAAAATAGTGTTTATGCTACAAAATCCAAGTTTCAGATGATCTTAATATTCCGTTATGACTTTTGAAGTTACACCGCCAGTTTTGCTCTAATTTGCGACATTATTGGCTTTTTCAAAAAAAATTATTGATACTTGCAGAGTGAGATTGAGAGCTAATAATAATATATTGATAGGTTTTAATTATCTTGAGTACTTATTTAGCTTATTTTAAGTGTCTCGAAAACAATAAGTAAAAAATACGTACAATGGAAAAGCTTAAATAATAACCTAAATATCATTATTCAGGTTAAAAGCGGAAAATAAATTTTTATTTACTTTGTTCTGTTTGATATGTCGTTTTTAATTATGTGTAAAATTGTATTCTTACCTTATAAGTAAATGGCGAGAAATATAGTGTTCACTGCACATAAGAGCGTGAGTTTTAGTGACGCTAAACTGGGCTAGGCACACCTAGGTTACCTAGGTTAAGTACTAAGGTTTATTCTTGTGACGTAGTTTGGAAGAACAATTCGTCAATTGGTAATAATGTTTCAAATTGTACAATAAAACTGTAGTAAATTAAACATTTTTTTTTTCATTTTATAAACCTTGAGTATATTTAATATTCCAATAATGTGCAATCTACGTTAATTTTTAGTTAAATTTTTAATTGGAAATGTACAGTGTCCACTGTTTTTTTTTGCCGTGAACCGTGGTCAAGAAATTTCTTTAAATTCGAATTACATGAATACAATTCGATATTGGAGTAACTCACACTCGGCTTTAATGTCTCAAACGACTGGATGGCCGGTGTCTGTTCTCATAAAACGAAAATCAAGAGGGACTCGGATTACGTAAGTGGTGACGTTTTCCCTTGTTGAGGTGTAACGTTGAACCGGTCCATTGAAAGCATTCGCCCAATGCAAAAGCAGTCCCTTTAATGCTAGAATGGCACAAAGCTCTTTTCTTATTAATGGTCCGATTCTAGACAAACGAATCCTTTAGGCTTTTCCTTCCGGTCAGCATAAATTACTTCGGATCATGTAGCATAGTTTGATATCGACCGCACAAAACGACATCAATCCAGTCGAGAAATATTAATAATTGTTCCCTGGCCTCTATGGATGTTATTTTATAAACAAATTTTTATAAAAAATAGAATGCACTGTTTTAGTCCAGAGAAGCTAATTAGCCGAGTGGTTAGGGCGGTGTTAATTGCCAAGCTGGCGGTGATAGTTGTAGGTTCGAATTTCGGCCGAACCCGTGCCTTTAATTGACTATAGTATGAAAAACTTATTGGAAAGAAAAAAGGAAGAAAGAAGAAGGAAGGAAAGAAATTTCTCCCCTATGAACATTTTTCGTTTGAACAAATGTATACACAACACAATCATGGAGATACATTGCTTTGACAACTACACCGAATTCAGTGGTCCAATTTACTAAAAATGATCCGAGAGGAAGGGAGAGAGAGTGTGAGAGACAAACAGATAGAGAGAGATAGTGTGTGTGTATGTGTGTGTGTGGAGAGAGCGAGAGAGAGAGAGACAGAAACAGAGAGAGAGAGAAAAAGAGAGAGAGAGAGAGAGTGAGAGAGAGAGAGAGAGAGAGACAGAGACAGAAACAGAGAGAGAGAGAAAAAGAGAGAGAGAGAGAGAGATGAGAGAGAGAGAGAGAGAGAGCGGTAGGACTGACAAACAAAGAGAGAAAGAGGGAGGAGATAGTAAGACCGACAAACAGAGAAAGAGAGAGAGAGTGAGAAAGAGGGAGAGTGAGTGAGAGAGATCGTAAGACTGACAGACAGAGAAAGACGGGGGAGAGAGAGTAAGACCGACAGACAGAGAAAAAGAAAAAGAGATAGAGAGAGAGAGAGAGAGTGAGTGAGAGAGACCGACAGGCAGAGAAAGAGAGAAACGGAGAAAGAGAGAAAGAGAGTGAAAGAGAGAGAGTGAGAAAGTGGAGAGACTGAGAAATCGTAAGACCGACAGACAGAGAAAAAGAGAGAGAGAGAAAAAAAAAGAGAGAGAAAAAAGAGAATAAGCCTAACATACAGAGAAAGAGAAAAACACAGAGAGAGAGTGAAAGAGAGAGTGAGCGAGTGAGAGATCGTAACACCGACAGACAGAGAAAGAGAGAAAGAGAAAGGGAGAGAGAGAGTAAGACCGACAGACAGAGAAAAAGAGAGAGAGAGAAAAGAGAGAGAAAGAAGAGAATAAGACTAACAGACAGAGAAAGAGAAAGAGAGAGAGAGAGAGAGAGAGAGAGAGTGAGCGAGTGAGAGATCGTCACACCGACAGACAGAGAAAGAGAGAAAGAGAAAGGGAGAGAGAGAGTAAGACCGATAGGTAGAAAGAGAGAGAGAGAGAGAGAGAGAGAGAGAGTGAGAGTGAGAGTGAGAGGGAGGGAGAGTGAGACAGACCGACAGAGAAAGAGAGAGAGAGAGTGAGAGTGTGAGAGAGTGAGGGTGATGGTGAGGGAGTGGGATGGAGAGTAAGACTGATAGGCAGAGAAAGATAGAGAGATCTTCAATTGTTTAAAATATTTAGAACCGTGGAATTTTTAGACATTTTCACCTTATTAGTCATTATGCTATTAAATTTAGAAATCAACGAAAGTTATGTACCTTTTGTTCCTCGTATGTCAATTCATTTCAGGTTACATTATAGTAAGTATCAATGTACCACGCAAATATCAGTGTCGATTCAATTTCAACGCAAGTCATGACAACGTAAATGGGAGCGGAAAAGGACGTTTGATTTTTGAAGAAGTAACTTTTCAATTCGGAACAAATGAACATGCCAAGTTAAGGGGAAATGAGTCGTTGTTATTCATGGAGGCTAGCTGGGAACTTTTATCTGATTAAAACTTTTCCTTATCTGTCTTCTCAACCGTTTATAATATTTCATACTTCAAGTCATTCAATTACGACGTGGAAAGTATCAGGAAGCCTTCATAGAGGGTGAAAAATACCTGGGGAAAATTCTCGTCTTTAGTAATAATTTGAATACTAAATCTGTGTAACGAGCGGAAGATGTAATTTTTTCGAAACTGCGTTCATGAAAAAAATAAATATGGGATATATTGTAGAGGATTTGTTATTTAACATAATTAACTAGACGTACAACGAAATAAAAAATCATTGATTTTTTTCTTATTAAACTCAAAAGAGACAAAGAACGATAGTAAACCAACAATTGAGGAACTTGCACATTCGATAATTGGATAAGGACATATCTAGTTGCTCTAATGAAATCAATACACCGGTTTTCCGTTTCGAAGTTTCCGCCGCTTGTTACTGGAGGAAAAGTTAGAAATTGTATCAAGCCGAAAATTCATAATGACAAGGAATTTAGCATGCTTGAATAAATTTGGGCGCTTAATTTAGTTTAATCGTCTGGTTTAACATTGATACATCCGGCGAGCAATAACAAAACAACAAAAAAGTTATCTTCTTTTTCTTAAATCAACCGTTATTGTTAGTTCAACAAGCTGATATTAGAGTTGGTGCTGGGAGAACCCACCATGATGATCTGATGATGAACTAACCCAAGGGCGCTCTCCATCACTTACAAAAGCGTATACCTGCCCATTGCCACGTACGGAGGAGCAGCTTGGGGAACAAAATTGCAAAGCAGGAGTAGAAGCATCCTCGAGCAGAGTCAAAGAATAGCACTCCTGAGAACGACTAAAGCTTATAGGACAGCCCCTACTCACGCCCTCCAAGTCCTTGCTTCCGCTGCACCAATAGACATTGTCCTTCACAGTAGAATTGCAATCCGGCAGCTAAGATATGGAAAGGAGCCAACAATGGTAAACTTGGATGTGTCAGATCGGGAAAAGCTACGAACTGCACCTAGAAAGCAGATCCGGGAGATCCTTACAGTTTGGATAGACAACTCGTGGCAGGAAAGATGGGACAGAAGCACCAAGGGAAGGTTAACCCCCGAGTTTCTACCCAGTACTGAGGACCGAGCAAGAGCAAAGTGGTTTCAACCAGATTTCAGGATCACACAAATAATGACAGGTCACGGAAATTTTAACGCTTACTTGCACCGATTCCGTAGAGCTAACAGTCCACTGTGTCCCGACTGCTGAGTTGATGACAATGTCCAACACAGACTATTCAACTGCCCCCTCCTTGAGAGTGTGAGGGAACCACTAAAGCTCCTCTTCCGCGACACTTGGCCACCGACCCTCAACGAACTGGTTAAAGAAAAGAGGACGTTTGAAGTCCTCAAGCCTGTTAGCCGAGCTATAGTCGATAAAGTACCTGACTAGTTTGTTCTTTCTTTCTTTTTTCTTCTTTTTTTCCCTATGATAACTTACTTGTTAGATCTTAGCGTTTCCCTGAACTTTTAATTCCGGGCTGGTTTCTCCTTGTACCCATAATTGTTATTTATTGAAATATTGTATTTATTAGAAAATGTATTCAAAAGGATTAACGAGCAAAAGGGAGACCTATTAGATTAAATAAATTAATAATAAGAAAAATATTCCCCTTCTTCATTGGATCTTCCCTTTCAGGGCAAGGTCGAAGGAAGACGTTAAGCACAATAAGATCTCCTAAACTTGCATCCCATTTGAATTAGTTTAGTGACCGTGGTCCGCCGGTATGGGGTCTCCCTTAGGTACGGCGGGGAAGTGGATGGGTAAAAAAAAAAAAGAACCAACATTAGGTCACTTATTGGTCTTCACTTGCGGGTTTTTTGAACTATTCAAGAGACGTGTTTAAGAAATCACCACTCCATTACTTTACTGGATCTGCAGTCAAACCCGTTCCAAACAAACAGAACCTTCTAGATTTAATCAACTAAAGACACCAAAACACATGGAACGCTGACATAAGTCCAACAAAATTACCCAAACACACCTAAAATGGTTAAATATCTCCAAACGCAACAAACAAAAATAGATAACCTGAAGTCTTTTTTTTCTGACGGCTTACTGTTACGGAAAAATGTCAATAATGAAATATTGTTTGTTGCAGAATTAAGCACCGAGCACATGGTGGCAGTCATAAGGAGTTTCGAAGACTGCCCTTCCCCGTTGGATAATCCCGAGATGGAAGCTTTCAAGATTAGCATCGCCGAAAATTTACCCGAGGACAACATTATAAAATTAACGTGAGTTCAATTAGTTTCTGGGCTAAAATGCAAAACCATTAACTTATTAAACAATAAGCAGCCCGTCTCTTCCCTATTAACCTCTCGCCTCCCGTCTTAATAATCCTATTAACTCTGAAGCGGACTTTGGAATTTGGATCGATAGACTTGAAAAATCGTTCAGCCTTGCTCGTCGTTTGGGATAACGGGCTGTGTTCCCGTTTCACGCTATGAACCGGCAAAGCAGGTATTATTTTTGATATGCGGATAAAGAAAAATACGTTCTGTCTCATAGTCGTAAATATAAACTGGACCGTGCACTGCTGAGGAAGTAATTCGTATTTATTATGATCACACTATATCTATGGAAATTAAACAGCACTATTTTTAAACTGTATACTTCTTTTGTGAAGCTCGAAAAATATTTAAATAGCATCGTTACTTAACAATAATTTATTTATGGGAATTATTGTTGAAGCAAGCACTGACTTATTTGGAAGGGTAAGTAACAATTTTTATTCCATTGATTTCATACAAAACAGTAGGATTTCTTTGTGGGTTCTGAGAAGTGATGAACAAGAATGAAAGAGATAATGAAGAACCTGCACCTACATAGACCTTCACAGAAACATAAAATGTGTTCTGCGGTCTCCTACTCTGCCTGGCAATATCTGCACAGTCTTTCTTCTTTCAGTACTCCTATCCGGTGCAGTGCTCTGTCAGGTGTCCAACCAGAATCCTGGTTGCGGTTGCCCTCCTGTAATTCTTTTGTAAGTTTTGCGGATGGTCCTTCTGTGAATCTTTTTGCGTGCCTCATACCTGTGGTTCCACCAGGTTTTGGACTCATTGAGGATCCATTTTAAGATGTATCGTTTTTTGTGGCAGGCTGCTAAGCCGCAGTAGGGTTCATGACCCAGAAAGTCCATGTTGGCCTTCCCTTTTTGGCCTACATGTCAACCTTTTCGTTGTCCTCATGCCCCGAACGTCCAGGGAAACATGCCAGGGTGAGGTCATTAGTGACACGCACTACCTTCAGAAAAGAGTTCAGGAGCGATAGGTGTCCTAACGGAACTTTCCTTAATCAGTTTATTACCAAGGCAATTTATCATTTATTATATTGCTTGTCCCTTGTGCCCAGAAAATGGTAATTTATTGTTGTTCTTAATGACTGATAGGGCCTTGACGCAATCCCAAACAACTCGAGACTTTTTGTGGTATATGGTAGTTGCCTTTAGTGCTACCAGATCCGAGAAGTTGGCTCTTCTTTTGTTGGTAATACCCAGCCTTTTAATCATCTTCCCACTTGTTCATAGTCGTATGAGATAATGTTTTTCTAACGTCAGCATTTTATCTTCCTTCCTCATTCTGTAGGTATTTCTATTTATTCTATTATAAATAAAAATGGAGAAGTTTAATACGTGCCACAAAGTGATTTTGTTAAACCTTTTAGTATTCATGTTTTAAAATGACACCTCCGTTATTACCTTGATCCATTTAATGTCTGACAGAAGCAATACCATGAATTTGATGCAATCTCAAATGGCTCTGGACTTACTATGGAAGAGGTACTTGCTTTTAGAGTTCCCAATCTATCCGAGAGGATGGCTTTTCGTTTATTGATAAGACCCTTGTGATCTCCCTGCTACAGGATCAATAGTCACAGTTTATATCTGATCTGCCGTAAATGTTACACCTATATAAATTGTAGTCTTATGATTATATCCATAGATACTAACTCCAAACCCATACATAAAACCATCTGTAGATATAGTTGGAATTAACTGGGATCTCAACAAAATGAAAGGTGTCATACTTTGGTTTTTGTACAGTGCGAGTATAATGTATTATTTCCACCTGCTATAGGAGTAATAGGTATCTTCTAGTTATGTTCTATACTATTGCTTAAATAATATGAGTATAGATGTGTGTGAGAAGATATGAGTCTCACCTAGGTTGAGTATATATATTGTACACAAAGTGCTGGAGGAATATCTGATACCACATGGCTTAACTCAAATAAATACAAAGGGATCAAATTTGGTAAAAGGATGAACGATGGTATATTAGCGTTGTATGAATTATGTGGGTCGTGAGCTGAAATGTCCCAATGGTCGATAGCCCCCCCCAGCATCGCAATTTCGCAATCCTCATAAAACTAGACTGCAAGTACTGTACGGCTTAGCAAAATCTTTTCATTTAAGCGTTGCAAAGAGCGAACGTCAAAGGTAATTATGGAGTTGGGTAATTATGTTCCGTACTTTGCCAATTATGTGAGTGCGGTAAGACCAGGTAAGTCTTATATCCAATAATCCTCCAAGGCAACCGAACTTTGCCTGTATAGAAATATAAGCAGGGAGCAGTTAAGTTTTTGTCGACTAAAATAGTTCTTTTTAAGGCACCTGATATAACCTTATTGTTTTGCTTATACATATATCTTATTTTTAAAATTACATTTTAAATATTCAAACATGCACAAAAAGTATAATTTTTTCCTTTATTTCTAACAATTTATCCTATTTTGAAGATACTTCCTTTCAGAAATAATGGTAATTTTTTATAAAGGATGCTAATAAACCAAATTGTTATAAATGTTGGCGTTTTTAATGAAAAAACGCAAATAAGAACGTCTGTCTTTCTGTCATTTGAAGAATAAAAACCAATAATGGATAAATGGCAAACCCACAGATTAATTGTTTAAAATTAAAGTTCACTCGTTGATTTTATGCTTGAGTTTAAAGACGTGGTTTCGCGAGATAAATGTATGGTCTAAACAAGCAACTTTAAAAAGCAGTATTTCCTTCATTAACTTGAAGATTCATTACCAAGTCTCTTGGCTGTTCTTAGCGTTCAAGCGATTCTAATCTAAGACTACGTGATACTTTACGAGGGTAATTTAGTAAGCGCTGAATAGGAATACACAATGAATTAGATTATTGATTAATTCAGAAGACAGTTTTAATTGTTGTTCCGACTTTTTAATGAATGGCCATGTTTGCTTTGAAGGTTCTGCATGATTTATGTTCTAAAACCTGCCCGCGGATTGTAGATGAGTTACAGATCGAATTTTAATGAATGGGTTTAGAGTTTCCAACATCACCCTGAAAAACTAGAAAATAAGCCCAGAAATAAATAGATTTTGACAGGACGGTGGCCTCGTCAATCACCGCTAAAACTTGGATAGTTGGATATTGGAAATACGTGTTCAGAGGGCGTTTTATTTTTAGCTACTTCGAATTCAACGGAAGTTCACGTTTTGCTCGCATTAACATTAACAATAATTTTTGCAGGGTACCTTGGGCAAACGAGGGGAAACTAGACCCGGACTGTTCCAAGCATGACACGTACCTCACTATATTTCAAGAAACGGTCTACTCCAGGCTCCAGGACATGATCAATAAAAATATCGAAGAAAAACCAGAAATCAACGCGAGAAATAAAGCTATTCAGGTATGTATTATATTTGATGTTATATTATAATATTCATACACTTTATTGGCTAAATCAAATGTTCAGTTGTAAATTCATGCAGACATTTGTTATATGATTCTATTTTTACTGAATAAAATTTTACCATTTTAGTTATATAACCATGTAGCACTGGTTTCATATACTATTTCTGTCAATCGATTCACCAACTTAACTGAATTAATATTGATAAAAAGTAACGAAAACCATATTTGTTTATTAGTTTTTGGATATTTATTCAACGTTAAAAAATATTAATAGAATATTTATCGGACAACATATTTCTTATGGTGTCGCCGTAAATGTAAATGGCCGGTTTTATTGAAGGAAATAGAGCTATAAATTATTCTGAACATAAGGATTTAGTAACGTTTGTCTCTTTTATAGACTTCTTTTAATACAGATTGTTCCAATTTCCATTATATTTTCGAATCAATCAAGTGAATTCTAAATTGTCTGCTAACTCAATCCCACAAAGTAAGGTGATTCAATTTTGATTAAAACTGGTTTTTAACGGGCAGGAGGTTTTTAAAGAAGCGCTGATTCATCTAGCCCTAAGCAAACAAATCCTAGACGAAGTCGTCGAGGTGACGAAGTTGAAAGGCACCATCGACCACGTAAAATCTTTGATGATGAACGCCCCTTCACGGCACGGCCCCATCATCCTTCTCGGTTCTCACGGATCCGGAAAGACATCTGTTCTAACCAGGATTTACAGTGAATGCGAAGAATGGTTCGGGAATAAGGTTCTGAGGGTTCTGCGCTTTTCCGGGGCGACTCCACGCTCTTCGTACAACTTGGAGCTGGTGCGGATGATATGCGAGCAGTTGCTACTCCTATTTCAGCCGGCTGGACCCTGCATACCTAAGGACGCATCCTTCGACCCGCTCTACATCAACAACTGGTTCCAAACTTTGGTTAGACGCTTTGACGAAGAATCGAGCGACAGGACGCTAGTCATACTGATCGACGACTTGCACAGACTGAACCCACTCGATTCGGACATCGTCGCTGCTCTTTCATGGCTACCGATCAATCTGCCTAAGAACGTGCATATCGTCGTGACGTCCGTCCTAACACCTGATGTTCTAAAGTTGACACCCGTTCAAAGGGAAAGGTTCAAATCTTCCGACTGTTTGTTTGAGCTGCCCTCTGTTAAAGGTAATCAATTTTTTTTAGTTTGAACCTTTGTATTCTCTTATAAAATTACAAAATAAAAATTACTCCTCAGAAAATTTTTACATTTAACAAATAACTAGTTAAACCCGGTATAATAATAAAAGCTAACTAAAATACCGAACCAAAATATTTTTAAAAAAACATGTTATAATTTTATCTCTATGGGGCGTTTCATGCCACTTTGCACACGCCTCTACTAAATCCTAATTTTCTCTTTCTACCTTTACATTTATTACAACCAATTACTTCCCAATTTTCTTTTCTACGTCCACTCCCATTTGACAAGCTGCTTTAAGCTTTTTCTCCTTCTATCCTGCTACTCCCGTCTATTCCTACCAATCCCCGACCACTTCATTTTTTCACTTTTTTAGCTACTTTGCCACAATCAGCGCTTAACTGCATTAATAAATGTTTTATACGCTCTCGTCACTTTGAGAGAATGCGACCATTGCTTTGTAAGACGTCTAGGTATTGTGAGAAAGTGAGACACACTCTCATATTTATCACTATTGTACTACCTTTTTTGCCCTTCTTAGTCAACTCACTCTCCCTCCCTCGCATTCTCGCACTTACTCTTTCTCATTATCATCACACTCGCTCTCACACATTTTAAAGCGTCTTTACTCTCCGACTCTCTCCCTTTCAGTCTCTCGTATCTCTCTCTCAAACACTCTCACTCTTATCACTATCTTTCACACACACACTCTAATCTTTCTTATACTCTTTCTTTTTTCCTCTCTCTCTCTCTCTATCTCACTCATTCACAACTTCCTCATTCTTACCCTCGTTCTCATCACAATCTCACAGACACTCCCATTTTTATCACTTTCTTTTTTACACACCCTCTTTCTCTCTCCCTTACTCATTCCTTCCCTCACTCTTATTACCACACACTATCCCTCTCTCACTCTCTCTCCTATCGCTCTCTTACTTTCTCACGCACACTCTCTTTCCCCCCTCGCTCTTTCTTTATTTTCTCACTACTTTTCTTACTCTCTCTCATCTCTCATTCTTATCTCTATCTTATCTGATATACATTTCTGCTCTTTTCATCTTTATCATACTCTTTACACTCTATGTCGCTCTCTCTCTCTCTCTCTCTCTCTCTCTCTCTCTCGCTCTCTCTTTCTCTCTCTGTCTCTCTCACTCTCTCTCCTATCGCTCTCTTACTTTCTCACGCACACTCTCTTTCTCCCCCCTCGCTCTTCCTTTATTTTCTCACTACTTTTCTTACTCTCTCTCACCTCTCATTCTTATCTCTATCTTATCTGACATTCATTTATGCTCTTTTCATCTTTATCATACTCTTCACACTCTCTGTCGCTCTCTCTCTCTCTCTCTCTCTCCCTCTCTCCCNCACTCTCCCTCTCTCCCTCCCACCCTCTATCTGTCTATTTATCTCTCTCTCTCACCTCTCATTCTTATCTCTATCTTATCTGACATACATTTCTGCTCTTTTCATCTTTATCATACTCTTCACACTCTCTGTCGCTCTCTCTCTCTCTCTGTCGCTCTCTCTCTCTCTCCCTCGCTCTCTCTCTCTCTCTCTCTCTCTCCTTCTCTCCCTCCCACCCTCTATCTGTCTATTTCTCTCTCTCTCTCTCCCTCTCTCTCTCCTTCTCTCCCTCCCACCCTCTATCTGTCTATTTCTCTCTCTCTCTCTCTCTCTCTCTCTCTCTCTCGCTCTCTCTCTCTCTTGCTTTCTCTTTTTCTCACGCACACACTCCTCCCTCGCAGTCTCTCTTTTTTATCTCACTACTTTTCTCACTCTCTCTCACCTCCCATTCTTATCACTATCTTATCTGACATGCATTTCTGCGCTAATCATCTTTATCATTCTCACCTATCTGTTTCTCTTTCTTCTCACTCTCTTTTTCGTTCTCTCTCAAACTTGCTCTTTTCCTCTTTCCTTTTCTTCTTTCTCTTTCGATGTAAGAGTGGTCCTCAAGACCAAATCTTGAGAGATTATGTAAATAAAGCGATATCAATCAATCTCTCGTGCTCGCATAGTAAATGTACGTCTACTAGTACCTAGCTGAGGAAATTTTTTCATGCTGTACATTACCTATACTAAATAGCTTGATGTGATAATTTTGTATTGACATTGAAAAAACTAACGCACGATTTTTCAAGCAATATTGATTCGTACAAAACAATTTTAGAGCTACAGTAAAAAACGCTATGAACCATGTTGCCACCCAACGTTTAATAAGCACCAGAAAAATAGTTTTTCTTTGTTAATTGTTATTGTAATTATTTTAGGAGATTTGGAGAAAGATATAGAAGAGAAGCTGGAACGTTTGGAGGCGGAGTTCGGATCGGAGGCAATCTCTCGTCTTGGAGCTTTTCTCACCGCGACCGAGTTCGGGCTTACCGAAGTGGAGTTGCTGGAACTTTTAATGCCGACGTCTAGCGACAACGGGCCTCTTCTACTCAGTGACGGCTTCTTCAACTTCTCGACGTTCTGCACAGTGAAAAGGAAAATAAGTGAGTGGGTGTTCGAGGATACTCGGAGAAACGATGGGTTTAAACTGATTAGGTCCGCCCGGTTTGGCTCTTTCGGCTCGCTGGCCCGGACCAGATGTTTCAGAGTCTTAATTTCCGCCAGGGCGTTTATCGGAAAGAGGTATCGTTCTTTTTTGAATTCGATTCAGTCTGGTGGCCTCCTTTCAGTGCGTTTTTCCATGGAAATATATTAGGCCGTGTGGGCCGTCAAAATTTTTGACTCAAACTCACCACCAGTTTTCAAATATAACAACTTTTTTTACCTTCTGAAGCTATTTATATCTATGGATTTTATCATGCCTGACACGAATCCTTATAACAACGCAATGTGTTCAAACAGCAACATTAAAATTTCCATTTTTAACATTGAACAATTTGAAACAACGATGAAGTTGAGTGCACAGTAATTGAAAGAAATCCCTTTTAATTAAGAAATTTTAACTGCTGGAGGATACCTTTTGTAAGAAATGAAATGTAAAAGAACAGCCGTCACTTAATGGATCTGACGAGGGCTTAGATAAGAAAACTTAGTTGAAGTACTAAACGTTGCCATCTCTAATAAAGTCGTGTTGTTTATATACCTCAACTTTCTAAAAATGACCGCGTTAGTTGGTTTCAAATTCAAAAAAGTTATAAAATATGTTTGACTGTTAAAAAATGTAAGAAATTGAAAGTTTACTCACGAGTACCTACATGTTTACAATAACGATCATACACTTAATTTACCCTGTCTGTATGAATTGTTAAAGATAACGTTTGACATAAAACGACAAACTGAACAGGTTGTTATTGGCAAACATTGGTACACAGCGGAGTGGTAACCAAGAGGTTCTGCCTATTATCGCTTTTTCCCTTTAATCGATACTATTATCTCCACGTCAACTTTCCTGATATTCTGAAAGAAGTTACGCAAAATTATTAATAACGATAGTAATCTGTTGTATGACTGTCGCTTTATTCATTATTGCACACAATATGAAAACGAGTGCTATAAATTTTATATATAGAGGAAACAATTATGTTCGCAGTGAAATTTCGATCAATAATTTACCCAATGAGTTGAATTCTTTAGCATTCTTGATGGTGCATAGGTTAATTAATTAGGAATGCGTGGATAATTTTAAAATTTATGTGATGTATGAGCCCAGTTTGAGGCATATTGTACGACCGGTATCTTCGGGTCGTTGCATCGACCAATGGGCGTATAGAAAGAGTGAGTTAAACTTAATTATCCAAGGCCATTGACAAACAAAGACTTTAGTTAACAAATTCAACAAACTGAAGTTGACGATATAGCAAAATGTGTCTGACAGGCCCACCCAGCAAAAATAAGTAACGTGGTAACGTCTAAATTGCAAGTAAAAATAAATTATATTCTGACTTAAAAGTCTTGGTTGCATAACAAAATAAAAGTAAAATGGATGGAAACTAGAATATAGTGGTTTATTACTTGTGGATGAATCTGTTGTAACACCTGGTAAGGTTTAAAGTTGACTACATTGACATCAACACTTTTAATCATATATCAATTAAAGCCTACCGTGTGTATCGACTTGTCACCTCCAAAAAGTAGGAATCTCATCCTACATAGGATTTCTCACCAACAGAGGACATGTTCCTAGCAGTCCTCCTATCTAGCAGTTCTAGTCTTAATACCCTAGGTTAAATAGTTTCAGCTATCGTCTTTTAGTAAATTTTCCCAGGCCTCTGATCTTGAATATTTTTCCTTTGTACTGAGGACTTATTCCTAAAACATTATCTGATGAAGCTCGTTTAAGGTAATTTGGTATGCCGCAAAAGTATTAAAGAAATTTCCTTGTGAATCACTGCACAGTGCTATTTTCATCATTGTCAAGAGCTCATGAATGTAAAGTTTTTTAACAGATACCAAAGCTTTTCCAACGGCTCCTGGGTGTATCGGGCCTAGATTACTCTCAAAGAAGCAGGAATCTCATCCAGCATAGGTCTCCGCACAAACAAAGGACATGTTCCGCTCCTTCGTATTTTTCCTGCCATATCTGCAATCTATACATATGCTTCTGGAGTATCCAGTCAATCCATAGTGCAATGTCTTATGATCATTCTAGTCTTAATAGATCCGAGCTTTAGATGCCGTTAGTTTTGCGATGATGTTTTATGCACTTTTTCGCATACCTCCTGGAATATGTTGTCGTGTATCCTACGATTTATACTTAACCCATTGACTGAAATATTAACATTTTTGCTATTTGGTATCGCAAACAGTTTCTGGGGCGATAAGTGGCCTGACTCACCCATTCTCGGTCTTAGACCATTGTACCATTATACCACATATGGTGGGGATTAACTGGGAACCCATTCTTTCTGAAGTTCTTCCCAAAGTTCTAATTACTTCATTTTATGATGGGAAGCTAATGGAGCCTTTCGCTATCACCTCGTAGTGCCGCGTTTGCGGGTCCATGCCCGGAAAGGGCAGCTGTTGATGCACTGACTGCGACCGAGTTAGGTCTTCCAAGAAGGGAATTGACTGCAGAAACTAACTCACTTCCACGTTTGGGAACTGTTCACATTTTGTTTCAACTTTCTTTCTTACTATATCTCCGTTTGTCTTCCTTCTATATTTCACTATTCCATTTCATTTTACAAATTATTTCGTAGTTTTTCATAATGGACGGTCTGTGAAATTTTTATTTTTCTCTTAGAGCCACACTCGATCATACCTGGTCTTCCAGGACGGAGTTTTTAACATTTTAAATTTACCTTTGATAAGTGTCAAAGTTTATTAAATTCACTAGTTTTCGTAGTCCGCTTGGCCAATTAATATCTTTCAATTAATTAAGGTTTTTTTATCTCAACTAAAAACATTTGATTATCAGAACCAATCTTAGCAGAGAGAAGGCTATTTAATTATTAATTTACGTCCTGGTGTCATAAATAAGCAATCGATAAGCTTTAGTGACAATTTAGTTTAGAATATTTGGTGATCCGGCCCGGAAGACCACTTGGTTTTAGCAATTTTTCCGGCGCATTTTAAATTCGGCGTAACTATTGTTACTGTTGGATTATTTATAATAATTATTTAACAACATTTGTTTTGTGTTTGTTTAAGTTGCGGAATCTCTTATTTTTGAAAAATTCATGAGCGGAAGGATTTTACTATGTTGGAAATACGAGATGAACGGAAAAGTGGCCAGGAAAAGATACCTACAAAGCCAGGATCTCACAAGATCGATCCATGCTGAAATTGCCAACCTTTTTTTCAGCGCTTTCAGCAATCAAGATGAACAGCTTGAAGAATCTGGTCAATAACATGTCCAAAATTTAATAATTGATTGAGTTTTTTTTTAATATTTTAATGTGTCTATTATTCAACTCAGATCATTCCGCCGAAGGTGAGAAGCAGACACCTTTCCAGTCTCATCTGCATGTTACGGACGTCACCTACAGCCTCCGTCATGTTGAAGAATCATGGATCCATTTGCTTAAAGCGGGTAAATAAAAAACATTAATATTCCTAAGATTATAGGGGTTTATAGTTTATAGTTGTTTTTGCTCTGACAGGTGACAGTTCGAGGCTGAAACAAATGACGTTCTGCAACTTCGACTTTCTGCTTGCAGCAGTGAGAACGATTTCTGTCAGTTATTTAAGATCCATTCTCGAACACGTGCGGTGTTATCTACTCGACAGAGATATAGAGTTAGTATATTATACTGTGAGAAAATCCAGCGATGTGCTTACAAGGGATACTTTACAATTAGGAGCTCAAGTGATCTGTTGGTTAAGACCAGTTGCAGGTATGATTTTTTCGTACGCTCGTTGCCTTTGTAACTGATCATTTTTGGGCTTTCAGAAACGAGCGGGCAGTTAATGAGCAGGATGATCATGTCTGCAATGGCTTGGTGCGACGGATTTACAGATCCACTGTTGGTTCCTCTCAACAGCTGGCTCCTCCCGCCGCTCCCTCTTCAGATCAAAAGTATTTTCATACTTCCGTTGTTCCTCAACTCATTTAATGTCAAATAATTTTACAGGTGTTGTCTGTCCTAACGGTGTACGCCTAATCGAGCCGACTCCCACGGCTCAGCACGTCGTGCTAATTCCAAATAACGGAGACCCTCAGATCTGGCACGTAATGTCAAACGCTCTTGTACATACTTTCAAAGGTTGGTTCAATGTGTTTATTCCAATGAAAAGTTGTTTTTTTGTTTTGTTTGTCTTATCTTTCAGGACACAGTGGAAGGGTTTTGTGTCTTGCGATTACGAAGCAATCACAATATTTAATTACCGGTTCTGAAGATACTTCAATAATCGTGTGGGACTTAAAAACTTTAGAAATCAAGTTAAGGCTGTTGTAAGTTAATCATTTATGTTATTTAGCTTATAAACTACCTAACTGCATATAAAAATAACACATTCCACACTACAAAACTCATAAATACAAAAATTAACTAAACCTTACGTAATTTATTCCAAACATTCCAAAACATGTTACAATTTAAAAAGAAAAAGGACCAAAGATAATAAAGACGGATAAGAACAATAAAAATAACCAGACTTAACCCACCAAAGACATCACACACTTTATTAAAAAATTAACTAATTAATTAACACAAATTCATCCACATTCAACCATTAAAATGGCAAAATCTGAATCCCATCTGACGTATCTATCAGCTAGGCTAGATTGACCAAATTACAAGTAAATTGCTGTTATATTTTTAAGCGAACACATTGCTCCAGTGCTTTCTGTGACGCCAGCATTGAACAACACGCTTCTTGTGAGCGGAGGTGAAGATTCTAGGATAATCGTGTCTTCTTTGGTCACTGGTGAAGTAGTCGTTAAAATTGACCATCACAGGGGCCCGGTTACGGCCGTCAACGTCACACTCCAGGGAGACATTCTCGTTTCCGGTAAGTACAGGAACTATTGTGCTTTCACAATTATACATATTCATCTGTAAAAGGTTCGTCGGATAAATCCGTTTGCCTATGGGAGTTGGAGACGTTCACCCTTCTGAACACGATCGTCGTAGCTTCTCCGGTCTCTATGCTATCGATAACGGACGATTCCGTTTTTCTTCTTGTTGCTTGCGAGGACAATCAGCTTTACCTACACACTCTCGCCACAGGGACTGAAATCCACACGCTGAGGGGTCATAAAGCAAAAGTAAGTTTTTGAAATCCCATCCGGATAAGGGAAATTCACAATTGTTTGAATTCAGGTCGTATCGATTACGCTAGCTGGTGATAATCAAAGAGCTGTGGCAGGTGGTGCGGACGGCAGAGTCTACGTATTCGACATGCACAGCGGATGTCTCGTGAGGACCATTTCCACAAGCCACAACGGTGAAGTGACCGGGGTCAAAGTGACAAACAACGACGACTTCTTGATAACTGCTGGTACAGGAGAATTTCAATTTTTCTCCCCAATTTTTTTTCCATTTTTGGTTTTATATCTCAGGTGGAAACAGAATAACTTTCTGGAGCTTCCGGAAAGAGGACGGCGTTGGCGTAGACGACGCAGTACAACCGATGAGTGGTAAAGCGCAAAACCAAGCGCAAAGGCTGCACACAGCACCCATCACCTGTTGCGATATTTCCAGGGACGGCATTACAAGTGTTACAGGTAAATTTTTTCCAAAACAAAAACAATACCTTCCCGGCATGGCAGTAATTAAAAATACAAATAGAAAAATAATTATTTCGAAGTTGTTAGAAGAATGGTCCAAACAAATCTCTTTTATTGCTTAATTCGGCTGACAGATATCCAATTAGTATATGATTTTGTATAGCTTCTTTATACTAAACTTTCTCAAATAAATAGGGACCCGCCAATTTGTAGTATTTTCTTTTCCTAGCATTTATATTTTATTTTTATTGCAAATTGCATTAAAATTTATTAGAAACTTTTATGTATTTTACAGAAAGAAAATTTAATTAACGGATTTTGAAAAAGAACGCAATAAAAGGTTTTAATTTCAAAATTATGTTTATTGGATTTGGAAAAAAATTAATAAGCAATTAATACCGTGCATAATGTCCTCTGTTGGCAAAAATCTCTGTTCACCTGTTAGACATATTGCTAATAAGGTTGTCACAAATTTCACTCCATAGATGTGTCACATACGGAGGAAAAAAACAGAATAAACAAATTACTTTTAAAATAAGAATTTATTAATTGAATTATTTGTGAATTATTAATTATTTATATTATTAATTGATTTATTAAGTGAATTATTTTCAAGAAAGAAAAGCAAAACAAATTATTTAAATATTCTCAATTTTGTCTCAAACAGAAGAAAAAATAGAATAAACAAATTCCTTTAAAATGAGGGTTTATTATAACTCACGAAGGAAACCAAAACAAATTATTTAAATATTCTTTTGAAATAATAATATAAAATAAAATTCTTCTTTTCCTCAAATCCAAAATAAATTGAAAATAACTAATTGTCAAAATACAAAACAAACTATTACTAAAGGTAAATTAAGAGGGAAGGCTCACCTTACGAGGCCTGGAACGCTTTTTCTTATAACATAAAGATTCCACTAATTAATTTGAAAAAAAAAACACACAGCTTGGCCCTTCTCAACATGGTCCTTTCAGTCTGACCTCTGATTCAAGACTCTTCTTGTTTTAACTCTTACTCCTTTGGCCTGTCGTAAGGAGAGAAATGACATTTCTTTGTTTATTTTCAATTATATATTTTTTTAAAATTATTTTCCCTTTTTATTCGATAATTTGTAAGGTTCCATCAAATGGGAACGTTACAGATGTTGCAACGCTGCACTCAGTTGTTGCAGGTCAACTGACGAGATAGAGTTCGAAAAGCCTCCTCTGTAACGCATCCCCCAATGTACTCAATGGGATTAAGGTCTGGAGACAATGGGGAAAAGGGCAGACGGGAAAATCCCAGGTTTTCTAAGCAATGATTAACAAATCTGCCTCTATGAGGTCTGGCATTGTCATCCCGAAATCGAAAAACCCTGCCAATGAGATCCCTATTTAACGGACCGCGGTGAGTTTGCCTTCAACAATATGGGGACCAGTTCGTCTTCCAGCACAAATCCCACTGCAGACCATTACACCGCCTCTCCAAACTGCACTGAAGGGACCACGAATTTGGGCATTGTCCGCATCCCCTGTTCTAGGTAGACTCTTCGGCGCCTGCTACCACTATACAGACAGAAACGCGACTCATCAGTAGATATTCCAAATAGTGTCTCTTCTAGGCACTTGCTGCATCATATTCTCCTGAGATGCCGGTGGCGGGCTGTTGCTGGGTCTCAAAGGGGCATACAATGTGAGGTCAACTTCCCACAAACGATTACGAATCGTATTGTGTCGATAAAGGCCTTGCCAAAACATCTTCTACTTCATCTAGAGACTGGTTCAGGATGAAGTCTTTCCTTGGTTAAAGAGAATACAACTAGATTAAAATGGAGAAAAGACGAGAAAAGCAGTTTGTTTACAAAATGAGTAATCTTCATTAACATTTGTTTATTTTCTATCCAACTTACAAGAATATATTGGTTAATTTAATTAAAATGAATAGAATATGAATAAATTACAAATATTCCTATCCATTTATGAACAGTTTATGCGTAATCGTAATTATTCTTAAATAAAGCATCTTATTATTTCTATGTTGTTATTATTGCTTCATTCATCTCTTATTAAATATTAGCTTATTACAAGTAAAATTAGTACACTAACACAATTAACGATCAATTTATAAGGAAAATAGTAAACAAAACACACATATTATTATTTTTAAGTTATTAGAATAGAAAATAACATTATAATCTACTGAACGTTAAATTCCCATAAGCTCTTAATGTAAATTCGTAAGATTCATCTTATAAAGAGCAAATGATTTGTTGAAGAAAATTATGTTAAAAGTCTTATTTACTAAAGTACAACTTTCAAAGAAAGAAAATCGAGCGAAATGTTATTTGCTTAAGGTCTAATTAGGTTACAACTTAACATCATCCCACCTTGCGCTGAAATTAATTTACCAGGTTTGCAGTTCATCCAATATTCGTGTCATTAACGCCCGTTTTCCCCGGATTCCTTTTCATCGTTTGGCCTTTGAGTTACGCATTGCATCGAATATAACGTCAGGGCTGGGCGGTGAAAGAGCTAACTTCGTTATTTTACGTTTTAAACTGTGGCAATGTTGGAAGTGTTAAGAAGTTTGGTAGTGTTCTCTCATTTCGTCCCCTTTCAGACTTTACTCTCTACCGAAATTTCTTACGTTAATGTTATTCTCTCTCTCTCTCTCTCTCTCTCTCTCTCTCTCTCTCTCTCTTTATCTTTCTCTCTTCTCCTTTCCTCTCCTCTGCACCCCTCTCCTCTACACTCCGCTCCACTCCACTCCTCTCCATTACTCTTCTTTCCTCACCACTTCTCTCTATTCCACTCCTCTTCTCACCACTCCTCTCCACTCCACTCCTCTCCACTCCATTCCGCTCCTTTCCACTCCTCTCCTCATCACTCCTCTCCTCATCACTCCTCTCCTCATCACTCCTCTCCTCTCCTCACCGCTCATCACAACTCCTCTTCACGTTTCTCCTCTCCCCTCCGCTCTTCTCCATTCCGCTCCTTTCCTCTTCACTCCTCACCGCTCTTCTTCACTTTTCTCCTCTCCCCTCCGCTCTTCTCCACTCCGCTCCTTTCTTCTTCTCTCCTCACCACTCCTCTGCACTTCTCACAACTCCAAACCACTCCTGAACACTCCTCTCTCTCTCTCTCTCTCTCTCTCTCTCTCGCTCTCTCTCTCTCTTTCTCTCTTTCTCTCTCTTTCTCTTTCTCTCTCTCTCACACACACTCTCGCTCTTCTCCTTTCCTCTCCCCTCCACTCCTCACCGCTCCTCGTCACTCCTCACCACTCTTCTTCACTTTTCTTCTCTCCCCTCCGCTCTCGTCCACTCCGCTCCTTTCCACTTCTCTCCTCACCGCTCCTCTCCACTTCTCACCACTCCTCACTATCTCTCTCTCTCTCACTCTCTCGCTCTTCTCCTTTCCTCTTCTCTACACTCCTCAACCTCTTTCTCTCTCCTCTCCTCTACACTCCTCAACCTCTTTCTCTCTCCTCTCCTCTTTACTAAAAAAATAATAAATTATCAAAATTTATCTCTTTTAATAAAAATATAATATAGAGTATAGTAGAATTAAAATGAGCACTTAGTGTGACAAAAATTAATATTTTTCTTTGGGCTTTTGGGAAGACGTAAAAACAATAACGATATGATTCTCTGAATGTTGGCAAACAGGTTGTTTCTTGCAACATATTCTTTGTTCTTCTTTATCACCGTGCGCTGTCCTACCATTAGCGTTACATTGTTGTTACTATTTATTATTAAGAATCATTTATTATTAATTAAAAACAGCGCTATTTTTACGCAAACTTTGCGCTTAGTACTTTTTTTCTGTTTTGGGAAATCAGGAATCACGGTTCGTACATTTGAACCGAGGACTTTTCACAGTTTTGAACAAAAATCGTCTAATTTTCCAATTGTTAGCTATTATTTATTCAAACATTTCTGCATACAGGCGTTAACTGAGTGAATAGGGGACCGCGGTAGCCGAGTGGTTAGCATGAGAGACTCTCACGCCGCGGTCGTGGGTTCGATTCCCACCGTCGCCTCTGGCCCTTTTTTCCCGATAACCCCCAATTTGAACACAGAAGAATTCGTACCATGGCTAATATGCAAGATCATATGGCCAATAAAAAAAAAAAAAAACTGAGTGAATATGCCTTACATAACTGGAAAAGACGCACCATTTTTTGGTTCGATTTCAGCTATGTAAAAACGTTCATCTAAGTGAAATAGATAGGATAGATCATACATCAAAGCACGTGCACGTTTTTTGCCGGAAATCGACCGGTAGGTGCCCATTATGTAAGGTTAAAATAACGGTCGACCACCTTTTTAATTGTAGCAAGGCCATAGGCTAGACATATGGAGACAATTTTTTGAAATATCGTCGAAATTTTGCGTAGTCTTCGGGCACAGCAGAGGACACAGATCGTTGTTCCGGTACCTCAGGCCTATATATATGGATTTTTAAATGTATGTAGTGTTTGGTCATACTTATGTGGTTTTGTGTTGTTGCAACATAACGTAGTTGGCTAATGTATAAACGCACCAAAGTAATCAAAATAAGTATTATTGCCTATCCTAAAGATTATATCAATATTCTACTAATTTCCTATCATATTTTTTTTTAATTTTAGTACATATATTTATTTGTAGCCTTGTATGTATATATATGTGCCCACTGTATGTTTTTTTATCACATGGTCACAGGACTAACACTAATTCCAGCGTTGCAGCTGGAGGACACATGCTATGAGAAGCCGGATGCTGGCACTCAGTGTGAGGGATTAAGAGGCAAGGAGGTATCGAGGCGACGTGGAGGGTTCTTGGGAAGGGAATGTGTAGAGAGGGCTCGACCAGTAGGGTTAGGATGAATCGAGAAGTTGGTGTAAAACTGTTGGAATCGGAAACGGATCAGTTGGTTGACATAAAAAATGTTGAGGTCGTTGTGGATAGTGAGGTTAGTGACGTAGTAAGGAGCTTTGTCAATTTGTCTGAGGACTTTTGATTGGAAGAATTGGATGCGCTGGGTGTTGAATGGCTTAGCAGAACCCCAAAGTTCCACTCCGTATGTCCAAAATGGTTGCAGTAAAGTCATTTATAACGTTAGTTGAGTCTAGACATTTAATCAATTTACTATGTTATTAGAAATTTTAAGTATTTAATAAGTTATAAGGATGTTGAATAACTCTTAACTAAATACTACTCTTTGTATTTGCTATTCATCCTGAAAGTTGAGTAAACTGTATATCATGAAGTTTTTAAAAGAAACGAGAATTTGGGTTCAAGGATAAAAATTGTACAGAATTAAAAGGGATTCATTTCAACTTATGTTTTCTTCACTCAATTCAGGATCGATGGATTGTTTGGTAAACGTCTGGCAGCTGAACACTCACGAGTTACATTCGACGATGGAAGGCCACACCGGCACAGTGACATGCGTGGCTATATCACCCAACGGAATATTCGCCATTTCCGGCTCCGAAGACAAAACGGCGAGGGTTTGGGGCTTGACGCTCGGCATGGTTGCTACAGTTTTCAAGGTAAATGTTACACTGTATAAATGATTAACCCTCGCTAATGCACTGATCATCAGGGCCACCAGGCGACCGTGACGGCCGTGGCAGTGCTCGCCGACAGCAGGCGAGTCGTGTCAAGCGACAGGCAGAACGTCTTCACCGTCTGGTTAGCGGACAACGCGACCCTTCTGCACACCGCTTTGGGCCCGACGACATACATGGCCATATCAAACGACATGAAATATGTCGTCAGCGGGGACGGCGACAATACGTAAGTTTATCCAATTGTAAAAATGACCATAACAGGTGACCTATTTGGTTTTAGAGTGAGAATCTGGCCGGCCACGCCCCACAGAGACGACGAGCGTTTTAACGTAAGCCACAGCGAAGAAATAACGTGTTTTGTTATCACCATCGACTCTTTACACGTGATCACCGGGTCGCGAGATATGTCTCTCAAAGTATGGCAAGTCGCTGGAGGAAAGCTGACGCAAGTAAGCTTTTAATTTAGTTACTGTTCATTCATAAAATCGACTTTATTTCTTAATCCATTTATATTTAGAGGTCTAATTGATCATGTTAATTATTTCAATTAATTATTCTTTTTATGTGTTGGTTGAAAAATAGCAAAAAGAGGGAAAATTCGAAAGGTAGGTTGAGGTGGGGAGTTTGTGTCCGAGTGGATCAAAGTCACGATAGCTCCAGTGGTTTTAGAGCAGCGGCGAATTGACCCGAAGGTCGTCCCCCTTATGACACTAACTTTTTCATCTCAACCAAGATCTTAATAAAAAGAATAATTAAATGAAAGGTTTTATTTATTAAATTGTATACACCAAAGAACCGCTCTTATATGATTATTTTATAAAAAGCGATCCCATTTTTATTTGCTTTCCAGTTTCGTGTTCATTGCATTTAATGTATATTTAAAATATGTATTACCAACCGTTGTTTCCACACCAGGTTGGCAAACAATGTCCCGCGGGCCGAATCGGATCCTAATTATTGGTTAACCGGAAAATAATGCTGGATTTCATGTATTTTTTTTTCAATTAACCATTTAATAACCTGTTTATGTTTAATGGATTATTCTTTCGTACGACAGTCAACACTTTTTAATCCTCTTCCAAAAAAACGTTTGTTTACCTCAGCATATCATTACTTTGGAGTAATTCAGCCTTCAATAAGTTGCAACGCGTGATTTTCGCGTAATTTCGTTATACGAATTTAAACTCCGCCGGAACTGTGCTCAAATGGCCAGAACCATTAATGAAATCTAGGGGATGGCGGTATGAAAGCACCGTTCAGAGTTGGCTTAAAAACTTTCGAGATGGAGACTTTAGCCTTGAAGAGAAAGAAGGTCGTGTAAGGATTCCTTCACTATATAATGATGTTCTACGACAATTGGTCGAAGAAAACCCCAGAACAACTGTTCGAGGAGAGAATCTTTCAGGAAGCAAGTCACCTTAAGGCAAATGGAAAGGTGAAAAAGCTCGAAAGTGGGTTTCGATATGAAGTTTGCGCAACAATTCTTTGCCGAAACAGAATCTTTTCTGGATAGAATTGTTACTTGTGATGATAAGTGCATTCTTTACGGTAATAGCAGACGTTCTGGACAATGGCTCGACAAAAAAGAACAGCACCACATTTTCCTAAGCTCCTAACCCATCGGGTTTCGTGTGGACTGATTTACTACAACTTTTTGGATCCTGGCGAAACTATCAATGCCCAAATGTAATCCTCTTAAATTGAAACAATGCACCAGAAATTGGCAATATTTAAGCCTTATTTGGTCCATCGGAAAAGGCCGACACGACAACGCTCGTCCCCATGTCTCACATGTAACAGTACGAAAACTGATAGATCTTAGTTATGCTTATGAATTTCTGGCTCACCCTCTCCAGACCTCTCGCCTACCGACTACCATTTTTTCAGACACTTGGAAAACGTTTTACAGCATAAAAAATGTATTAATCAAAAGTCGTTAGAAAATGCATTTAAAGAATTTGTTGATAATAAAGACTGAAAATTTTATTCAGAATTTGTTGAAGTCGTGAGGAGCGGTCTAGAATGAGGCAGTTTAGAAAAACACCTTTTTTATATTTTTGCCGTCGTTTTGACCTTTATTCGGGTCATCTTCAGCAAAACAAATAAACTATTAAACCTTATCTTTTTTACTTTCTTTTGTTATCGTCCTGAATAATTAACTTCCTTTCCAATATTGAATGCCGAATCACAAATCCAAATCCTTAAAATCCCCATTCTCGACTTACTTTGAGTTAAATAAAACCACCTTCGATCAAAGAAATTTTCCCATATTTACCGCGTCCCCCACCTTGCCACAATAATATAAAAACAGCAGAATATAAATTCAGGTTTCACAACACTTTCACACAACACCACATATACATAAATACTACACATACTTTATATGAAAATATATATTTGGTTCAAAATTTTTATCTTATTGCACATACATCTTAAATTGTATTTTTTCCAATCGACATATGTATTTTAAATTACCCAGGCCCTGAAGGTGACCCGAATAAAGGTCGAAACGTCGGCAAAATTTTTTTTAAAAAATGTGTTTTTCTAAACTACCTCATTTTTGTCCGCTCCGCACGACTTCAACAAATTATGAAACAATAGGTCACTAAGTCTATGTAAGTGGAAAGTTTCTTTTCTTTCGCGCATATTTTCTTTTAAACTGCAGCCATTTGAGCGTCTCGATCTGGTTACTGACTCTCTGATTTCAGATATATACTACGTTGATATTCTAAAATGCTAGTCTCGTTTGTACCTCAGGTTGTCAAGTACAAAATGGAAACAATACATATATATACATCACCACAAACATAGATGTCTGGTAACATTCATTCCCCCAGAGTACTCGATATTCCTCGGGCGGGGTTATAAGCAACCCTTTCCTTTCACGCTAATAAATTACTTTTACTCTCCAGACGTCATACACTCACCCGAGAACAGGTCACTAAGATTCGCACATTTTATTCAGAGTGTATAAAGAAGTTGCCGTCACGTGGAGAGAAGTAAGTGTATTGCGACTGATGAAGAGAATATTAATTAATAAAAATGTTTAAAATGATTTATTTAATTGTTTTTATTTGATAACCAAAAACTTGCATTATTTTCCAGGCAACCCAATGTTACATAGCACAGCGAAATTTTTAGATTAAAATATCTAAAACAGGTAGAAAAAATATCGAGTTGACAACTAAGATTGTTCCAAGTTAATTGTAAAGTATCAATTAAGCAATATTCCCTTCGTTATGATTAGCGATCTGGATTCAAAATTATAATCAATTAACCTTTAAAATATCTCTTCTTTTGATCTTTAGTGCTTATTATATTCCGTTTTAGGTGTTAGTAGGACATACGGATCAAGTTACTTGCGTGGCCGTAGCAATAGAAAACAAGACCATTGTCGTTTCTGGATCGAAAGACTCAAATCTAATTGTTTGGGACATGATCACTGGTGATGATCTCCATTTGCTCCAAGGCCATTTGGGATACGTGACCTGTGTAAAATTGGCGGGAGACGGAAGCATCGCGGTCTCGGGTAAGAAAAGATAAAATGTACAACGGAGGCATAATACTCAATACAATTGAATTGTAGGATCCGAAGATAAAAGGATAATAGTTTGGGACACAAAGAAAGGGGTTCCGCTGACCTCCCTTCAACTCCATCAACCGATACTGGGCTTTGTTATGTCGACCGACGCTACAAGAGTAGCGGTCCACCTCCTTGAAAGTAAACATCTGCCGATAATATGCTTACACAACACTCCTGCGACCTACGTCAAAATGCCCGTGTACGTTGCTCCGGCTAAGGAAATCGAAGGTAAATTATGTTTTAATTTTAAACATTTTACAATTTTATTGAACCCTTTTTTCTTAGATTTGCGGCCGAACGCGCCCAAGAGACCTATGAGGAGGCTGTTAAAGAAAGAGGTATCTCTCGACACTTACACATGGCAGAGGAAATACGGACATTTAACTAGTTCCATAATGAAATCAGCAGTCGACGAGAGGTTCAAAAGAAGATTCTCGGTCTCCGCTAGCATGGAAGAGATATCCAAAATACCACAAAAAGAAAATTTGGGCTCCCAGGTACTGTTTGTCATTGTATTAAAATGCATAAAAAAATTAGGGAATGAGTTTAAAAAAAAAAAAGTTTTTTGTCAGCAAGTTTATAAACATGAAAACAGCAAAAATATTACAATTTGGTCAACTGTCAAAAAAAGAACAAATGAACATAAAAGAGAAAAATTGAAGCAAAAACAAATAAACTGACCATAGAAGGTGGGACTGAGACTGGGAACAAAAATAATGCTTTCTATATAGCTGTAAAATTGAATTATCATCAACTAATTTATCAACTAGAAAATGCTCAAAACACTGGATTGTATATGCTTTACGGTAGTAAGAATAGAAAAATTTTGTAAACAGCAACTGAATTGTAGAGTAAACAGCAAAAAAATTTAAATATTACTTCTTTATTTGTAAATATATATACAAATTCAGAAGTGCTTAAAACCGATATTTAATTAATACAAAATAATGATATACTTAAACAAGCTTATGAGGAAAAAGTTTTAATTAATTATTATTTGGAAATCGTGAGATGCGGTCTGGTGTGACGTGGGTTTTAGAAAAACGTTTTCTTTATCGTGCGAACGTTTCGATCTTCATTGAGATCATCTTCAGGGCCCAAAGTGTTTGTTTTCCGTGTAGATGTGTCATACTTGTCTTTCGTGTTGAGAGTGCCACACAGACAAGAATGACACATCCGAATAATCATTAACTAACGGCCACTAAACAACACATAAAGTTCCAATTAACATAAACCAATTTCACCATATATTATGCGGTAGTGACTCGAAGTTTAACGATTTTTTTAGAATCACCCTCACAGATAGGCATTTTCAGCTGTTTACCCTGTATAATAATTACAATAATACTTTGAGATATTTTACCTGAATAAACCTTGAAACAAGGAAGAATTTCCGAATACCGGAGACAAGAGGCAGCATTATTTAACCCCATTTAGTATATCAAAAATTCTTACATGCCCCACAGCTCCAGACTGCTGTCCATGTACCATCATATAAGTTATTATATTTACAAACTATCTGACAATCCATACTTAGCTAAGTTTTACATCATTTGACTTCTTGGAATTGAGTCAAACGTTTATCCTGCATTTTGCAAATTAATTTAATATCCCTTACCTTATTTATTTTATTCTGTTTTATGTTAATGTATTTTATTTGGTCTTGAATTTGTTCTCTTAGTTTGTTTTAGTCAAATTTTTCAGTTTTTCATCAGACAGCTTGACCGTGTCTATTAATTATTGTTTGTAAAAACTATTTATTTAATTGATATTTTTATATTTAAACCTCTGCCATTATAATTCACTAATTTCGTGGTCCGCTTGACCAATTAATATATTACAATTAATTAAGATTTTTAGTTGAGATAAAAAAGTCAATGGCACGAGCGGGATTCGAACCCACGATCTTCGGCTAGATACGCCGCTGCTCTACCACTTGATCTATCGTGACCTCGATCCACTCGGACACCAACTTGAAAATGGCAAAAATTAGGGAAAATTCAAAAGGTGGGGTTGAGATAGTAAGTTGGTGTCCGAGTGGATCGAGGTCACGATAACTCAAGTGGAAGAACAGCGGCGTATCTAGCCGAAGATCGTGGGATCGAATCCCGCTCGTGCCATTGACTTTTTTATCTCAACTAAAAACCTTAATTAACTCTACCATTATTTTGTTCCTTGATATCGGTTTTAATGCACATATGTATTTTCTATCTTTGCAGACACAGGTAACAAAGTTAAATGTAAAAAATAGGTAAAAGAAAATTAATATAAAAGCCAAAATGCAATGTTACCTAAATTATAAACAGCAATTTATCAGTGTGCACATATTTCCTAGATCAAGAGGTTTTTCAGGGGCCGCGGTAGCCGAGTGGTTAGTGTGAGAGTCTCTCGGCTCGTAGATCCCGCGGTCGTGTGTTCGATTTCCACCGTCGCCTCTTGCCTTTTTTCACGCTACCCTTCCCCCCCCCCAAAAAAAAGGCAGTTACGACATCCTACTTGAAATTTGTACATTTTTGCAGTCTGGATGTATAACTAAAAATTTGATATTTCTTTTGTCATCATTTTCACATTTACTCGATCAACATTGCAGCAAGGTTTGGGGCCGGAGCAAGCTGCCCTGGCACAGTCACAGCATTTTGATCAGCTAGAAGCTCTATGGAACAAAAGGTCCCCGCCTAGATCCAGGCGAATGTTTCAAGTATGTGTTTGTAAAAATGTGCGGACCAAACTTAAAATAATTAAGTGTAATTCCATTTTAATTGTTTAGTCCTTGTCAAAGCAAAACTCAAGGTCGAGTCGTAAGGATTCTACAGATAATGATGATCAGCCTTCGCCAGTGGAGGAAGTTGCAGGTATTAACTGTAAATAAAATTGGCACAAGATGAAATTTTAATACAAACATTCGCATTTCAGATTTCATAGGAGACTAATTTTCCCCAAGTTTACCTCACTCCTTGCAACTGATATGTGATCTGATATCAATCATTAACCTTTTTTATTAGATAGAAGTTTAACACAAACATGTAGAAATTGCAATAACTTTTGTTGTGTAAAAAGAGCAAAAAAAAAAAAGACGCAGTTTCTAATACTTTTATTTTTTAATGCTCAGCAAATGATAGATACAAATAACTAATTTGTTCGAAATTTTCTTGTTATATATTAAAATGCTGAATGTTTTTCCACTTTCGGGGCCAAAGGTATGGCTAACAGCTCATTTAATTTTATTTTACATTAGTTTGCTTTTTACGTTTTAATAACAATTTTGTACGCCATGAGCTTTAAGGTACCAAGGTATTAATTTAAAAAAACTTGTCACAAGTGTTGCATATTAAAAAGATACAAAAACTATTTTTGTGAAGAAAAAATAATATGAAAATAAAAAGGCAAAACAAGACAATGAAGTTATTTTTAAGTTCTTTAAGATTTTAAAACTTTTACATTGAATATAACCAAAAAAAAGGAATTTGATATAAATAAAATACAAATGCTACAAGTACAAATTAATTTTAATTTTTACAATTTGTTAAATATTTACTTATATTTAGGTATATTTTATTTTAAAAAATAAAGTTACATCTTTATATTTAGTGGACATAAATTGTTCTTTCCTCATTGTGATTATTAATTTTGATATTACTTATATTCCTGTTGATAAGATACTATTTGTTAAACATTTGTTGATTAGTGAAAGTTTTATTGTATGTTATCTATGCTGACATAATTTTTATTAATTTTTTAACTATATTGAATAAGTAAAACTGATAATACCAATAAGATATACAAAACAATATAGATTAAAATTTATAGAGAGAAAAAGTTTGATTGTAACAACACATGACCAATTTGGTGTTTCTCAACTAAAAGCACTTTCTATTAAGATAAATATTATAGCATACCAAATAAACTCAGAATTTATGATATTTTGTTACTCAAAAAGGAAAGTATTAAATAGGCCAAGAATTCCTTACCCATAGTGTTTAATGAAAATAATTAAGGTGACCTGTTGTGGCAATAGCATGCATCAGGTTTTTAAAGCAACGATAAAATGTACCATCCTTGTCATTCTAGATCTTCTTCCAGTTAGTAATCTAGATCGTGTAGAAATATTTAAAAAAATAAGAAGCTAATATTTCAAATAGCAGAACCCATTGAGCTGAACATTCCTAGTGGATCTACGGAATAAACTGGCTATGTGTGATCTTCATGACTATCAAAGTAGTTTTTAAGGAGGGATCTAACCAATCAATGTTATATTTGTATAGGCATGAGCAATATGTGTTAATATATTTGTATATCTCTTGGAAGATATCAAACATAAAGAAAAGATAAAATATAAAATCCAAAATTATATGTTGTTAATTTTCTTCTTCCCCTTCACTTCAGAGAATAGGCTTACTGCAGACCATTAGGATTATACTGTGTCATATAAATTTGACAAGCCAGGACTTATCCATTTGCTTACTTTGTTTTAGGAAAGCCAAATTCCTTTTCCTTCTTTGATTCATGTAATGGTATATTCACAACTCTCGGTTGGTTTCATTACAGATACACAATGTACATCCCTTTACCATGTGAAAGAATTTTCATCGCTGCTGATTTAGTGCCCCTTTTGCTGTGTTAGCATCAGAGATACCATATATCAATTCTGCAGTTGCTAGTTTCTTTCCATAATTTTTTCCTAAGAGTGCAGTGAACAGTATACATTATTCAGAACCGTCTAACCTTTGGGGTCACACCGTTGTCCTGCTCAAGTCGCAATCAAGAATGGTAACCTGCTCCACTATTGTGTTATCAACAACTTTTGATCACACTAGGTACATACACTGAAAGACAATTACTTTGGTTTTGCTGGAGATCTTCAAGTTATATCCCTTGCATATCATGTTGAAAGTGAAAATAGCCTTCTTTCAAGCAATTTACTAACAAGTCAATACTTAGAGAATTGACTAAATATCATGACACCAGTGCCTATGAGGTGGCGTTGGTTTCATTATAAGTTGAATTTAATTTTCTACTTTTATTTCAAACTGTAAACACTGGGAAAAAAAATTTAAAAAATAGTTTTGTTTTTCTTGAAAGATTATTTTGAAGGTTATTTTATCAACAAAAAAATCTTATCTCAGAAACAGATTAAAATAAAAACGTGACGACTCATTCTACTCAAAATTTAACACTCCAATAGGTGTTTTTTATACTTATTTTGAGACATGGAACCATTTAGGAGTAATTCTTGAAAAAAAAGGTAAAAAAGACAGTTTTTATAAGGTTTTGCATTTTCTTAATAGGAGGCTTCATTTGAGGATCTATATTTGTAGGAACGTTTTTGTTCAGCATGAAATTTCCTATAGATCCACAAATTATCTTTGTTTGTTAATAATTGAAGAAATTTATAATAAACCTATGCATTTTTGGTTAGTTGTGTAAGGAAAAATAGACAGAGTAAGTTTACAAAGAAATGCAAACACATTAGTTTTTAATAATTTATGACATACAATTACAATTTAAAATATGTATTTATTAAAGAAAATAATATTTTTATTCATTTTTTTTAATTTTCAAAAGGATATTCAGGATGACTTTTTAATGTAGCGAAGAAGCCTTTGTTAAACATTCTCCCAGCAGGTCCTTTATCTAACTCGACTAATCGTTGATGTTCATCACTGGTAAGTTCAAAGTCGAAAATCTATTTATAAAAATGTCCAAATTAATATATTTGTTTTTATTAACAATATAATCTATATACTTCAAAGTTTTGTTTTATCCTTTCAGGATTTGTACTCTTTGGGATGACGGCAACGCCTGATTCCACCATGAAACGTAGCAATACTTGTGAAGGAGATTTTCCATGCTTTTTTGCAATCTCGCATACGACAGGGTCCTCCATAGGTTTTAAAACATCCATTCTTGAAAATAAATATAATTTTAAATTTAAATGTAAATTTCTTTTTGATTATAAATGAAATATGAATACCCTTCAGTTGAAAGACCAATTTGTTTAGTAAAACTGGAAAGAGATGGAGAACCGAGAGGTGCATAGGCACAAACAGTGACTCCATTTTTTTTACAATATTGTACAAGTTCCTTTTGTTGTAGATAGATGTGCAATTCGACCTGGTTATTTGCTGGTTTGATTCTACAGTTTTCAACGATTCGTTGTACCTGTTTTAAATTGAAATTTGAAACTCCGATGGCTTTGGCTCTTCCAGCATCCACTTGCTTCTCCATTGCCTTAAAACATAGCACATTTTTTTAATTTTATTTAATTTTTTTTTTAAGAATAAACTTCACATACTTTCCACAGTTTTAAAAGGTCAGTATCATAGTCAAGTGTATAATTGGCTAATGAACCAATATTGTCAGTATGAACAAACCCTACAGGACTGTGTATAAGGTACAGGTCAACATACATCAGTTTTAAAGCTGTTAGAGATTTTTTTAAATATGTTTCAACATACTCTGGTCTATTGGCAAAACTAGGGAGCTGAAAACAAAAATCTTATAAACGATCAAATGCTAATATAACTTACAGTGCATAAAACTGCAAACCTTGGTTACTATAAATAAATCTTCCCGTTTGACTTCTCCACTGGCCATGATTTTTTCTAAAGCATTTCCAATGCCGGCTTCATTCATATATACATATGCCGTATCAATATGTCTGTATCCTGCATCAATAGCAGCCGATATTGCAACTTCAGTTTCTTTATCTGTAGCCTGAAAATATAGAAATTGATTCAAATTAATTTAAAATATTGAATAAGTCAGGCATTATCGGGATCACTGTACTTCGGTATAACAAAATAGATTGGTTCTAGTAGGAATTAGGAAAAGACAAGTGATTTATTCGTTATGAAGGGAATATACATATATATAATAAAAATAAAATACATAAAAAAATTGTATATGATCCAGAGAGTTGGAAAATATAATTTCATACACTAACAACAACAGTGGCCTGTAAATGTCGACAAGTTCCAGGCTTGTTATGTGGGATTGTACGGGCTAAATACACTCAAAGGCCAGAAAATAGGGCACGCGTATTTTATGCATACTTCAAATTATATGTGTTCTTAATGTTATATTAAGAAAAAAAATTTTATCACATAATTTACAATTGATAATCTTGTTGGAGTATGATTGTTTACATTATTTAAACATCCTAAACGTTTACTGCAAACAACATTATAATATTCCAATTTTCAATTTTTTATTTAGTTTTAATTTTAATGTTTTTGGTCTTTATTCGTGTCACTAAAAATTCACACACCTATGACACCACATGTACAGCACCAAATTTTATACCCTGAAGATGACCCGAATAAAGTTCGAAACATCTGCAAAAATATGAAAAATTTGTTTTTCTAAACTATCCCATTCTTGACCGGTCCTCACGAATCCAACAAATTAATCAACGGAATCTGAATTATATGCAAGCTCGTAAGCCCATAAAAACTAAATTACAAGAATAAATAAAATACCAAGCAAAAAACCGCGAGGTGACAGAAGGCCAGAAAGACGAACTACGAAATTCCTTTGGCGTACTGTCATCAATGATATCTTAAACTATTTTTATGAAACAAAAAGATGTACCACCAAGAAAAATGTACTTCACAACGATATGAAAGAAATTACCTATTAGGGGGTAAAATTATTTTTTCAAAAAATCGTAAAAAATTTCCAAAAGGTCAAATCGAAAAACTCTTCACAGTAATGTTCGCAAAACGGTACTACAAGTAAAGACCGGCGATTTGATAACTCAAAACCTGAGGGACTACAAAAATAATTCCAATTATCGAGAGGAAAGGGACAAAAATGGATAAATTGATATTCATTTTTCCCAATTATTACTTACATTGTACATTTACAGGGTGTTCGGCTACTCGTGTTACAAATGTTTTCCAGTAGATTCTACATTCCAAATGGTACCAACAAGTCCTAACTAACTATGGTCGGAATCTCAACAGTTTCGGAGTTATTTCACTTTTTCTGATTTTTTTAAGATTTCACGACCTTGCTTCAAATAAACAATGATAACTACAAAACTAAAACGTTTTCGACCCTGGATACCATTGAAAACTACGTTAAATTTCCAATAAGATGTGATCAATGTTGAACTTGTAAACGTTCAAGAAATAAGCCTTTTAATAGCCAGAACTTTAAAATGAGAAAAAAAAATTTAAGTGGAAAAACTTACGGCGGTGATTTTAAACTACCATTTCCAAACTTAGAGACCAGTAAATTTCAGAAAATGTACTCCATTTAATACCCTTCTTATTGGTGCAATTGCTTTTTTAATTACTTTTTAAAAGTTGAATAAACTGATAAAGGAAAAGAAAAAAACCTTGAAAAAAACCTTGGTTGAAGGATTGGTAAGGCGGAAATCTTAATAACAATAAAAAATAAAAAACTTAAGGAAATTTTGAATGAATTTATTAAACTTTTTTTTAAATGTGTGGCCATTAATGACCGTTAATCGATAATTACTCAGAAATCGTGAGATGCGGTCTGGTGTGATGTAGGTTTCTTCTTCGGCTCTTTTAACCTCAAAGAAGCCGACGCCTTATACAAAAATGTCTTTCTATACCGACTTCCTTCCCCACTCCTTCAAAATCCAACATATATAAACACAAAACAGCAATAACACTCTCATCACGACACGCAAGAATAGCACAATTACACAGAAGGAAAACACTGAGTGAGCAGAAATACTGTGATTGAATATAAAAAAATATATTTTGCATTGTATAAATTCACTTTTTTCCACATCTACATGTATTTGTTAAATTTAAACAATGTTTGTAAATCCCAGGCCCTGAAGAATGAAGATGATCTCAATAAAGACCGAAACGTTGGTACGAGAAAGAAAAAGGTTTTTCTGAAAACTACATCACACTAGACCGCATCTCACGATTTCTGAATAATTAGTTTTTTTTTTTATTTTGATTCTAAATGCTCTCTACCCTCCGCAATGTATTTTCGACGCGCTGCCGTCGCATTAAACCCGCAAAACCCGTACAAAAAATGAATATCAGCGTATTCTTCATTAGACAAAGGAGCCACAATGTTAACAAGATATCACATAGATAACTAAAAATGTTTTTAATCTTAAGCCTTTTTTATTCCGGAGAATAATAATACTTACCTATTATCAAACTTCAGTCGTGTTGGTAAATAAGTAAACACTTGTACGGTTTCGAACCCAAATTAAAAAAAAATTAATAATATCATTCAAAATTTCCTTAAGTATTGTTTTTTTAATTTTCCACCTCACCAATCCTTCAACCAAGGTTTTTTGTTTTCGTTTATCGATTTATTCAACTTTTAAAAAAAAGTGATTAAAAAGCAATTGCACCACTAAAAAGGATATTAAATGGAGTACGTTTCCTGAAATGTGCTGGTCTCTAGGTTTGGAAATAGTAGTTTAGTATCACCATAGTAAGTTTGTCAACTTTGAAAAAAAAAAAAATTCAAACTTCTGGCTATTAAAACGCTAATTTCACGTTTTTGTTTTGGAGTTATCATTGTTTATTTGAAGCAAGGTCGTGAAATCTTAAAAAATCAGACAAAGGGAACTCCGAAATTGTTGAGATTCCGAACATAGTTAATTAGGACTTTTTGGTCCCATTTTGAATGAAGAATCTACTGGCAAAGTTTGCAATACGAGTAGCAGAACACCCGTATAGAACATAAATAAAGAAAAAACGGAAATACACCGACTATAAACTTGAACATTGTAAGGCATTATTAAAAAAATCGTGAAGTTGTTTTTCTTACAATGTGCCTAGGCGTCCTTTCAACTGATTTTCCCAAGGGAGGATTGCTGCGAACATAGAAAACACTAGCCGCAGAACATAACAAACTAGAGAAAATTCGAAGAAATTTTAGGCCGTAAAGAAGTAAACTAATATAAGTAAATATGTCAATAAATAAGCAAATATATGTAAAGTATACTAAATATGTGGAAATTTAGAGGACTACAACAAATAAAAAGTGCAAATTATAAAGGTGGAACTGGCTCCATTTATATTAACAACATGATTTTTCTCTCCCTGCTACGAAAAATATTTCGTATTACCGAATGTATCCAAATGGACAGAAATTTTCTCGATTACCTGCTGAGGAGTTCTTATTATCGAGAATTCGAATTATCAAGTTTGGAATAAACAAGAGTCAACTGTATAATATTAGTGTGTAGAAATTACATAATAATAAAAATAGATTTCACCTGCCATGTGCCTAGTCCGACTACAGGCATTTTCATGTTGACGGCATCCACTGTGCTTTTAGGCGAAAAGACCCCGGGCATAGTTTTGATTTTAAGCTCTGTTGAAAAACAAGGACGAAAAACAAGCGGCCAAGCCTAGTTGACAACTGGCTGAGGCTGACAAGGAATTCGTTGGGTTCGATGGCATCTAGCTTGCTGCCGTTTCGGCTTGGTTCGGCCGTTTCCGTACCCCTTTCGCTGAGCGTTTTATAGTGGCCCAAGGTCGTATTACATAAAATAATTTATGAAAAAGAAAATGAATATATAAACGAATGTTAATTGGATAGTGTATATCCAAATATTAACCTCATATAATATTACTCTTTGTACTTCACGCTTGGGGAAGAATTGAAGGAATTAAACTAATTAATTAATAAAAATTAAAATAAGGTACAGTGTTACTTAGATATTTTATTTAAAAAACTCCTCTTCTGGTTTCTTGTATACTGAAATTGGGCTTGAATCTATTTTTCTCAAACTATGTTGTGTTTACAAGGAAGAACTTTATAACAAAACATTTCTTAAAAATAATTATATTTCATCTTGTATAAATCCAACCCCACACCTGAACGCCATAACACACTAATGCATGTGTGAAAGTGTGATTTTAAAGGGAAACAATATATTTTGTTATTAGGAAACGTGTCAAAGTGTTAATTCCTTAATTAGATTGTTCACTTTCTTTTTCAAATGTTTTATGAATGATAGTTTAGAAGTCAGAGAACACCAGTTTAAGTTTTCAGTACTTGCCATTTTTCAAATGTCGTGCATTTCAGGATTCGGATTCTCGGCGACATATGAAGTGGCCACGGGGAGCCGTTAGTGAAGTCATACTCCGTTTTACTTATTAAATTCATTATATTTAGTGGTCATTTACCAAATTACTTATTTGAATTAATTAATCTTTTTATTTGAGGTTTTGGTTGAAATGAAAACTGACAAAAAGGAGGGAAAATTCCAAAGGTTGGGATGGGGAGCGTCCTTGTTAATGGAAGTCACGATTGCTCAAGAGGTTAGAGCAGCGGCGTATTGAGCCTTAGGTCGTGGGTTCGAATCCCTCTCGTGACACTACTTTTTTCATTTCAACCAAAACCTTATATAAAACGATTAATTTTTTTTAACGGTATGCTCTTGAGAGATGAAGCAATAACAAACAGATTATTAATTCCATAGATTAGATTTTTTCACTTTCTCGTCATCTACATAGTGTAGTTTATTCATTTTTATTACACACAGTTGTACCACAATAGACCAAAATTTCATCCAAGATGGTTTAAGTAATGTGAAAATAACAACGGACCCAAAAGCATCATCCATATCAGTAATAAATTCTTTTCTTAACCCATCCTTGCATAAACTTATTGAGATACCTTTTTTATTTCCAATTAAACATAATGTTCGCCGCTGTTTTTGTTAATAGACAGATAGAAAGCTAATACTGTACGAACGACCCAACCTTTTTTGTTTAATAGTTTACAGCCAGATCCCTTAAAATATTTTAGGAGGAATCTACCTCTAATTAAAGAACTAGAGAAAATCTGCTTAGAATTAAAGAAAGCCGGATCAACTCTTTTGAGTGAAGTCCTAGTGTGGCGAGTTTGCTAACGAAATCATTATGAACACGTAATTTTATAAAAAATCACCATTTATAAAAACATGTCGGAGCTGTAGGCTTATTCGATAAGGGAATGGAACCACATCTCTACCACTTCTTTTTCTGGCTTGAGCCCTAAACTGTTTCTTCCTGGTGACGCCGTGTCAGTAGTGCTAAGAAGTCTTGATGTCTTATTAACTGGCCGTACCTTTTATTGAAAATGTAGGTTTAAATTTCATCTGCATCGCTCCAAGATCTCTGGTGGGCTTTTTTGTTCATTAAGTCTATCCAGGATATGATTCACTTTGTACACTGTCCTCAAACCAATGTTATCAGATCTCTAGTATCTAGTTCTTCTAGCCGACACATAGTCACCAGCTAAATCGATTCGTTAAAGATCACCTTAATTTGATTTGAAAATTCGTGAATTCCATAGGTTTTGATCAGATGGTGTGCTTAATGACGTCATTAGTACTTCTTTTATATTATTTCATACATCTCTTTTATTTTGTCACTTTTTTAAGTTGATTGATTAACTAGATGATAGAGTGATGCTTGAAAATAATTTCCTCTCAACAGTGAAGTAATCCAAGCATTTCAAATATTGATTTGTTTATTTAGGACGAAAGAATATAACAATATGACCAGAAGAATTATGGAAGGTTTAAATTCCGGTACATTTCCTTTGCCTACAATATGAACGATCCATTCCAGTGTCGTGTCTATGTTAGTAAAGAAAATGGGATTGTTGCGACAAATACGTTCTTTTATCCCTGTAACCACGCCGAAAAACACGTGGTCATCTGAAAATATTGCGGCTTCGTCAAAGTTTGGGCAAAACTCCGTTTGGAAATTGACACACGTGTATCTGTGTTCTTCGCCTTCGTGCTCTGAAAATGTCTGCATGTTAGAAATTAGGTGGCAACTTATAATAAATAATTATTATTCAACTTGTTCTTTCGGTGTAATTTTTGCACACTGCACTGTATTGGTCAACGTTCATCCGAACGAATACCAGGCTCGGATTTTTATTATTAGCTTTGTACCAAGACACCAGGGTTGCAGTTGCAGATTTTCTTTGAGATAACATGGAGTTGAAGAATTGGGATTGTTTGTGGGCCTGTAAAAAATTAAATTTGGTTATTATTTTGAAATTTTACATTTTACTGAATAATTCTGAATATGAATAATATGCTATGAAATAACTTTTTCAATATTGATCTACCCATGTAGATCAATATGCAATAAGTCAAAAAATCAAAATTCAATTTATACAGTTTTATTATGTTCGGCTAATTTTTAACTACCGGCTCTGCTAGATGTAGTTTGACAGATTTTTCCGCTTTGAACTTGAAGTGAAATGGCTAAATGGTAATCTTATTACCTTATTTTTAACCGACGGATCGAAAAGGAAACATTGGACTGATTGCTTAATCTATGATCCAATTAACAATTATAAATGTTAGATTAAGTTAGCAATGGAAAGGAGTGTTTATGCAGAAAAATTATGCTATTCCAAATTCACTCAGCTCTTACCAAACGGCAACTGTCTTATAATAAAAGACAATCAAAGAGCTCTCTTTAAATTAAAGATCATAAAATCAGAAATCGGATAACAAGTTAAAACAGTTAAAATTCCTTGGATTAAGTACAAAGAAAAAGTGCATAATTTGGCAAACGAAGCTGCATCCTAGATGGGCCATGCCCAAAATTAATTATTAGAAAATGCAAAATATAAGAGTGGAAAACTAAGTATTGCAAATCAACCAAAGGTCCTTTTGTGAAATCGCTCCAAACAAACGTAGGTAGGAGTTGATTTCAAAGGTGCGTGCAAATCTAAATGTTGTTAAAATCACGCTATTTGTTTTATAAATTTTACACTCATGGTGGAAACTGTGACGATATAGATTCCATGGAATTCCTAATAATGATCTATCGTAGGGTAAAAAGAGAAAGATTATTTAAGGAATGTTTGATGTTTAGTGACTGTTACTAGATGATTATTTGGAGGCCGTAAAATGCGGTCTGGTGTGTCGTAGGTTTTAGAAAAACATTTTCTTTATCATGCCAATTTCAATAAAGATAAAAACGTTGGCACGATAAAGAAAATGTTTTGCTAAAACCTACTTCACACCAGACCGCATCTCACGACCTCCAAATAATTATACAAGGAAGCGAACCGACACATTACTACTCCCATTCAAATAACAATATTACGTACTCGAAACATCACGGTATTAAAGCAACTGTTTTAGTTTACGAGGAGGATAAAACAAATTTAGAAAGGCCCAATTTGTTTTCCATGCTCTTCGTTCCTGTACACAGCAGTTACAAAGGGTCGTGGGAACCACCCTGGAGGCTTAAGCCAGAAACACACTTACCCGATGCTACACCATGCGACGCTACTCCATGCTACCAGACGCAAATCCAAACTCCGATTTTCCATAAGGTTGTATTACCCCCGTGCACATCTACTCGATGCTATGCCACGCTAACCTACCCGACGCTATGCGATCCCCATTGTCCAGATTTTCGTCGGGTCGCATTGAGTACAGTCGAAGACAAAAGAACCGGACACTCATATTTTTATTCAAACTACATGTATTATTGTCGTTATATTAATTACAACATACTTATTTTAATATAATCCAAATTAACTGTGATGAAAAATTAAATAGTTTTTATTTAAAAAATTAATTTTAATGGTTTGGTAGAAAATTAATCAAAACACCGGAATAGAATTTACTGATGAATGAATTCAAGTAACAATTTATTACATGGTTTTGTTCATAAAATTTAATTAACAATTTATTTCATAGTTTTGCTCGTAAAATTACACCATTTTGTAATGTCGGGTAGCATCAGAACAGGACACTATATTTTTTGTACTTTATTTCAAACTAAGTACGGGTAATTTTGTCGTTATATTAATTGCATGTTGTTTCAATGTAAACCAAATTAAACGAGATCAAAAATGCATAAGTTTTTATAAACATTGTTTAATTTGATGGTTAGGAGTAACTTTATTAACAATTTATTACATGAAAAGATGCATTGCGATTGTGATAGTGATTATTGAGATAAACGCTATGGACTGTACGCGACGTGTGCTTGCGTCGGATAGATGTGCACACCCCACCAAAACATGGCAAGACGTCGGGTAGCATCGGGTAAGTGTGTTCCCGGCTTTAGGGTTGGGTAAGTGATAACAAAGTGTAATAAATTTAGAATAATTAAGACTGTCTTAAAATAATTATAAAAAATTTAGATAATACAATATATTGATAGCTAAATACTTGTAATAAATGTAGGAGCAAGTAGAATAAAGACCCTGGACACAGAGTGTACTGTGGCCAGGAAAAAACACCCACCAAACCGCTCTCAACGGAGATTGAAGCGAAAAAAATCCCAGGAGATCCATTCGTTGTTAAAAACGCAACTATATATTACAATCAATATTTATAATATTTATGGAATTTGTTTACATATTTATTAATATATTATTAATATTATTAAAGGTTGTTACAAAAATTTTTAATATATTAAACTGGTAGGGGACTACCGGTACGTTGATACCTCATAACGTGTTTTAAACTGAATTAGACTTTTGTCTACTGAAATGGTCTTGCCACAACTGGAATTTGACAATAAAGTTGATATTAAAAAAATCTGAAGTTTAGAATTCACAAGATGATATGTGCCTAATGTTGGGGTAGTCTGCTTGCTGTCTGGGCCAGTCTACTGGCTGTGGGTCTTCTGTCAGGCCTGCTGGCAGGATAAAACGGACTCGGAAGGGAGGTAAAAAGGTGCAGGACATGCACATCTTCCACACGTAGTCCCTCCAAGGTTGTATTGTTTCCAATAGGAGGCCTGTAAATAACAGACAGCGGCTGGTCGCTCGGGGTTAACGCCAAATAACTTAATTTTCGTTTTAGTAGGACCGACACGTGCTAATTTTTAATAATGACATGTGAGAATTATTACCTGTGTTGAGCAAGTACACGGAGCGAAGATTGTTTTAGCATATGAATGAATATTCTGATTTTGTAATGTTTCCATTGAATTCACTATTTTTCGTGGTCCGCTTGACCAATTAACATCATTCAATTATTTAAGGTTTTAAGTTGAGATAAAAAAAGTCAGTGTCACGAGCGGGATTCGAACCCACTATCTTCGGCTTGATACGCCGCTGCTCTACCACTTGAGCTATCGTGACTTCGATCCCCTCGGGCACCAACTTCCGATCTCAACCGCACCTTTTGAATTTTCCCTCCTTTTTGCCATTTTTCAAATGTCGTGTAATCTATTTGATTCTTGGCGGCAAGTGAAATGGCCACGGAGAGCTTTAGTGAAGTATACGCCATTTAATTTGGTTGAATTCACTATTTTTCGTGGTGCGCTTGACCAATTCATATAATTCAATTAATTAAAGTTTTAAGTTGGGAAGTTGGTGCCCGAGGGGATCGAAGTCACGATAGGTCAAGTGATAGAGTAGCGGCGTATCAATCCGAAGGTCGTGGGTTCGAATCCCCCTCGTGACACTGACTTTTTTATCTCAACTTAAAACCTTAATTTGTAAAGTTTGTTTGTGTATGTTAAATGTTTCAATAAGTCAATTTCTTCGCAATATAAAAAGAAGACTACTTTTCATTTCAGTTGGTTTCATAAGCAATTGTTCTAAAGATATGCCAAAACTAAAAATACAAAATTACCTCCAATGTAAACGGAATTTTGACAGTGTGCACATATTTTCCTAAATCGAAAGGTCTTTCTGAAACAGCAATTCCTATGTCGTACTTGACCAATTTTCCGTCTTTTTCGCAGTCTGGATGTATAACAAATAACTTGATTTTTCTTATCTGACCCTTTGCTTTTACATTGACGATGGTCGTGATACCAGCGACGAGAATATATCTGTCCGGTACATGCTTGCTCTCCTTGATTGCTTGGGTCGGAGCGATCAAGCAACTGCAAGAGGTCATCGTGTGCCAACGAGTAATCAGAACCCCTACGCAGTTGCGGTTGTCGTCTAACTTGGACATTAGGGATATGAGAGAGGGAATTTCGCCCGGTAACGGTTCATACATTGTCAAATCATCTTGCGCAAATATCGCGTTCGAAAAAACAAGAGTCACATCCAAAAAAATCACAACCGATATGGATTTTATGTTTGAAGGTTTCATTGTGCCAAGTAGTAAACGTATTTCTATAAAAAAAAATTAACTTTAACCACGATTTGATTTATTAAAAAAAAGTATGATTTTACAGATGGTTTCGAATTCATCAAGCTGATAAGGTCTATTTTAGAATGTTCTAATTTTTCGTGAAACCTTTTATTAATTTTGCCGCCAACAACGCACAATTATAAACCATGAAAGAAGGAGTATGCTCATTCCGTGGAGATATATTTGACCATATTGCCACATTGGATAAAAATGGGTGTTAACTCTCAGGAATAAAAATAATTATGCTTATTGTACCCCTTGTAGATTAATTGAACCCCTCACCGAATACTTACCCTTTAGGTATTGTCCATCTAGTAGGTAAGTCATACTTTTTTAACAACTTTATTGGCCGTAAGAAAAGCATTACAATTCGTCAAATTTAAGAAAACAAGTCATTCAAATATTCATGAAACATAGTGTAGTTCCCGGTAGTTCAAAATGGAAAAATCGGGAAAAAACATGCTTTAACGAAGTTTTTTAGACTTTTGATATTTCCATAGTTTTATAACGTTTTTGTAGATATTTTGACCAAATTTCAACCAGATTGATACATGAGATCATGTTGAACTTGTCGACAAGCTACATTCGCTAACTCGCAACTCTCAACTCTCGATTCATTCGGTAGATTTTTTTTTTTTTTTGCCTAACCTTTCGGCATTAGCCATATACCTATTTCCCCGTGAGACAGACGGAGTGCCACCGTACCCGAGGATAACCGCCCCCGGCCCAGCGACCCCCATCCAATCTCAGCTGCTATTTTTTCTCTTCTTTAAATGTCCAGATCGTTGCTGGTCATAATATTGTATACGGCATCTAAAAATCCAAATCGCCTAATCTCAGAACATGGACTATGATAGTTGGAAGTGGGACTCTTTTCGATATTAAAGTTGCATAAAGCCTCTCTCTACCTATGGAGCAAAGCGCGCATGCGAGTAGAATGTGGTCTGCGTCGGCTCTGCTGGAGCCATCACACTCACAACATTCGCTATTTTTCACTCCTATCTTAAAGAGGTGTTGGGGTAGTCTGTTATGATTAAGACGCAATCTGCATATGGAAGTGAAGAATCTCCCAGGTCTGTTTATGCTATTACACCACGGTTTTAGTTGGAGGGACGATTGTATATCTGCATAATATGTGCCTTTGGTTAGTTTGGAATTTTCGTTCTCTTTTTGCCACTTTTTTTTATGACGTGTCTAGTATAATAGCGAATGTCCTGAGATGATATTTCATGAAGCTGTTGCCCTGTGACTGTAGCTTCTTTGGCCAAGAGATCCACTTCATTGTTAAAAGGGTTTGTGTCGTGGAGCTTTAACCCGCATCAGATAGACTTTAATGCGGGAACTAGATATATTTATGTCGTGTAATCGTTATTTTATTTCTACGATGATGGGGTCTTCGGGACAGTTGGAGTTTTGAAGGGCAGTGAGGACACTAAGGCTGTCGCCCATTCCGGGACCTGACTTTCTATAAATTTGATTCCCTCTCTGAGTGCAATTGCTTCTTCTGAAAAAAACCGAGCAAATCGAAGGTAGTTTTATAAGGCGCCTGTAATTCGAATCCACGGCAAGCACAGCCGCACCTACACCGTTTGGAGATTTGGATCCATCGGTGTATAAAACTAACGAGTCAGGGCTCTTCCCGGTTAAAAAGCACTCCGGTAGTTCAAAATTGGAAAAAAACATACTTTTACGAAGTTTTTTTTAGACTTTTGATATTCCATTAAATTTATTGTATCATATGTGTTTACTTTATTGTATCTTATGTTTAATGAATTTATGTGCATCATAAAAATTATTTCTATAATCTTTTGTAAAAATAGACTAGATTATGAAAAAAACAATAACAGATTCTTTGTGTTTTGCAAAGTTTACAGTCAGCGTCGTTCAACTATCGTGATGCCTTGACCATAATCACTAGCACTGCTCCCGGAGGGACACGTTTTGGTTAACCAGGGTCGCTGTAACTTTAGTTGGCTTCCATCGATGGTTGCAACAAACGAATACTGAATCGTAAATCAATTAATAAAAATAAAATTTGATGCTAACCACAAACCACATTAGCTACATGGTACATGTTGCAACAAACAAATAACTTTCACCCTAACAACTTCGAAAGCGTTATTCCCCATGAGTGTTTAAATGTAATTGATGTTGATAGTTTCAATTTACATGCAGGTCGTTTAATTTCCTCCACTGTTTGGTAGACTTAAAAAAAACATTAACAAGATTAATCTTTTTATGTAAGGTTTTGGTCGAAATGAAAAAGTTAGTGTTTCGGGAGGGATTCGAACCCACGAAGCCGAAGTTCGCGGGTTCGAATCCCGCTCGTGACACTAACTTTTTCATTTCGACCAAAACCTTACTTACAAAGATTAATTAATTGAAATAAGTGATTTTGACAATAGACCAATAAATATAAGGGAATTAACAAAGGTTATGTATTAACAGTATTATGTGCATTAACAGATTGCCTCCAATCACATATGTAAATTATTTATTGAATTTAAAATAAAACAATAAACAATATAATACATAAAAATTTATCGAAAGATGAGTATTTATGTAAAAACTAATGAATAGTAACTATTTAAATAGTGCAATGACATTTTCAAACGTCAATTTTTTATCTATGTTCATTGCTTTATATGTGATGATTTTCTTTTCCAACGCAGTGGATACAAACGAGACATGTTTGGTGACAATTTATGAACCGTTACCTGGGGAAATTCCGTCAGTCATTTCCATAATGTCCAGATTATACGAACAGCACCAGTGCATTGGGGTTCTGATTACTCGTTGGCACACGATGACTACTTGCAGCTGCTTGACCATCTCGTCACGCGGAAGAATGCAAAGCAGACTTATATGGGATGATTATATTCTTGTAGCCGGGATTACGACCCTCGTTAATGTAAAAGAAAAAGGGCAGGTGAGAGATGTTAAAGTTTTCATTGTACATCCCGGCTGTGCCAAAGATGGCAATCTGATCAAATACGACATCGGGTTTGCAGTTTCAGTAAACCCTTTTGATCTGGGGAAATATGTGCACACTGCCATTATTCCATTTGCGAAAGAGGTAATACTCCATTGTTTGTAGAAAACAGCTTTACGTTAATTTTGAATATTTTTAAAGGGCCAGAATCCTCCAGATTTTTTAAGTATGTTAGCACCAAGAGGAAATTATATAACGGCATCACTAGTCTCCTGGTCCAAAGCATCTAACACAAAAAGCCAAAGAATGTTAGTCGTCCGCATGGCCATCAATTCTGTTCAAGAGTTGAGATTCAACCGAGTCCACACAGGTGGAACAGAATATTTATATAGTAAATGAAAATACTAAATTCTAACATGCGACATTTACAGACAACCAAAAATTCCACCATTTTTACACATGTCTAACTTTTAAAACAAAGTTTTGCCCAACGTTTGACGAGGCGGCAGTTCTGTCAGACGACAACGAAATTTTGGGCGTGATTACCGGCTTAAAAGATCACTGTAATAGCAAGCTCGCTTGCTTCACTAGAATAGATAGCATGTTGGGATGGATAGAACACGTTTTAAGCAACGGAAATGTTGGAAAATTTAATGCTCCAATAACCCTTATTATTTTATCATTATTATATCCGTTACAGTCTGTTCTTTGATAATGAAATACAACTATAACTATTTACTATCACTTCTAATGATTTGCATGTGATGATCTATAACTATTTGTAATTTAATATTTATTGTTGTATTTTACATGAGATAAACAAGAGACATTGTAATGATGTTACAAAAGCATCATGTAAATTGGTCGTTACTGATCAATTGGTCTGCCTATCCTCGCTGGTTTTGTCTGTCAGAACGTTTTGGCTTATCATCTTCAATGCTAGGCCACCTTTCACGCACCATATACAAAACATTTGCCTTCTCAACAATCACTTAAACTCGGCAATGTAGATGGACGAAGGCCGAAACTCGCCTGGCAAACCAAGCCAGCGAGGATATGTATACCAAAATGATGGGTAAAGACCAAATTGCACCTCACCATCCCTGGACTGCAGACTGGAGAAATCTCCCACAGTATCGAGTGTGATTCTCTGGATGAGAGCGATCTGTGAAAAAAATGCGCAATTTAAACTAATCGTTTTAATAAGAAATTTCCCAACGTACATGTATTTTTAGTTTATGATAAATCAGTCTATCTATTTTGTTAGGTAGCCTACTTTGCCAAGTCGCTCGGTCACAAATTATGTATTGTATTTGAATTCCTTTTTGTGTTATTGCAAAAGTAGGATAAAATATTTGTTAAGCACGTAGAAAAGCTGATATTTGTTTTCGTACCCCAAAACATCCCACAAATTATTTTCACTTTCCAATTGCCTCCGATTATTTCCGAAAATCCCAAAACCATGATCACATTAAAACGACTCAACAGATCCTCTATAAAACCTATGGTTAACTTGTAATGGTAAAAATCAAGTATCTGCAAATAGATTAGAACCGGATATAAGAAATAAAACGTTTGAAAACTTCGTTGATTTCCCCCTAAATTTTTTACTTATAACATAAAATCTAAGATATTGACATAGCCTGAAGAAAATTACTTTCAGCTTAACTTCTTAACGATTGTAGTAAATACGTTAAATTTATATCAAATTATAAACGATTTTCATGTAGAAAATCGTAGAATTAATAAAATGCCTCAGGCTAATACCGCTCAAAGAGTTTATTTTTCATAGCAGTAAATATTTTTATATTTAGCGGACATAAAACATTTTTTTTCCTACTTAACTGGAATTGATTTTTGGTTTTGCAATTTGCGAAATGCATGCACAATAAGACAGAAAGCAATGTTAATCATTGTTGCCTTGACTTTCAGGACTCATTGAGAAAAACGCAATTTGAATTTGAATATTTTTCGACCTAAAAGCTAAAACAGCTTTATTCAAATCAGATATCCGAACGGTCTTGTTAGCGGGGTACCATTTAGTTCCATACTCTTCATCAATTTTGAGCAAGATTGGAAAATCCTCGCTATGGTTAATTTCCCAACACTCGACATAATTAATTAATCGAATTATTTTTACATGAAATTAATGCAAAATAATCCAATTTTTGGCTATAATAACTCAACACGATTAACTAATAACTTAATCAAATTATTTCTTAAGCATTGAATATTCTGTTGTCTGTTCCACATCCCATTTTTCAGCTTACAATATTTTGCAAGGAAGTTATTATACGATAAAATTCTCTCTTTTAATAAAAATATTAATTCCATTGTATTTATTGGTCTATTTATGTAAGGTTTTGGTTGAAATGAAAAAGTTAGTGCCACACGCGGGATTCGAACCCACGACTTTCGACTAAATACGCCGCTGCTCTACCACTTGAGCTATCGTGACTTCGATCCACTCGGACACCAACTCCCCATCTCAACCTACAATCTTTCGTATTTTCCCTCCTTTTTGCCATTTTTCAAATGACATGTAACCAGGATTCGATTCTGGGCGACACATGAAGTGGTCCCGGGGAGCTGTTAGTGGAGGTATGCTTCGTTTTACTTATTAAATCCATTATATTTAGTGGTCTATTGACCAAATTACTTATTTCAATTAATGAATCTTTTTATGTAAGGTTTTGGTTGAAATGAAAAATGATAAAAAGGAGGGAAAAATTCGAAAGATTGTAGGTTGAGATGGGGAGTTGGTGTCCGAGTGGATCGAAGTCACGATAGCTCAAGTGGTTAGAGCAGCGGCGTATTCAGCCAAAATTCGTGGGTTCAAATCACGCTCGTGATACTTTTTCATTTCAACCAAAACCTTACATAAAAAGATTAATTAATTGAAAGAAATAATATTAATGTTTTAATTTGGCCGTAGAAGATATTAAAGAAAATTATTATAATTAAATTTATTATTTTACTATTTACAAAGATCTAATCCCATTTTAAACTGTGGATATTGGCTATGGCTTATAGTAAAATATCCTGTAAAATGCCCTACTTTTAAGATAGTTGATTCCTTAGGCATGGGCATCGCCTTTCCAAAGCGGCTGCTTTTCAGGCTAATGCTTTGCAGTCATATAGGGCATTTTCCGATGTCTCTGCTTTTCTTGTCATAACAGAGTTCGTGCATGTTTAGTTTTTCAATTTTTTTCTTAATTTTTGCCTAAGGGAGAAAGATAAATAATTGTTTTCCTGGTTGTGAAGTGGAGGAAGTTCTTTGATTGTTTGCACTCTATGAATTGAAGGGGTGAAATAATTACTTTAATTTGTTCAGGTCTGTTTTTAGCATTTGGGCCTACTAACTTGGGGTTCTGGTTAAAAAGATATGAGTTTTTCTAATTTGTCAGCCTGTTTGTTTAATCCCCTTGTTTTCTGTCATTCACATAGTTACCAGATTTTTTTACCAAGAGTTAGGATTGCCATGGAGCACCTAATAGAAATATCTATTTGTTGAAAAATCTTTGATGTTTATATATAATATGTATATACATATTTTTTATAATCATTACTTTTTAGACCACTTCCCAATACTAAATTATTTTTCCTAGCAGAGTTTTCTAGTTTCAAATTTGAACTAATTAAGTTCGTTTTTTAACGGATGTATTTTGAAAATTCCATGTGGTTTTTATCAATTATTGTTTGTCAATATTGTTCTGTCTCAAAACAGCGGTTTTTGGAAATTATTCAATTTTACTACATATGATACATTTTAATTGTTAACAAAGCATAAGAAGTGACGTGCATATCTATTATGTAACAAAAAATTCATTTTCAGTTAAAATTGCCTACGATATCAGAATAGAAGAAGACAAACGCAATCATCATGTGAGAATAACTAGAAGAAGTTTTATTTTTTGTTATTCATTATGTACCATGAAAAAAGTGAGATTGAATAGTTCAAAGATAGAAAATGAATAGTAATGTCGGCGATACAAATATTTCCAAGTGCGTTCTGAAATAGCAAATTCGACGCCGCACTTGATCAGTATGCCATCTCTGCCTAAGTCTGGACGTAGGGCGAAAAAATTATTTTCTACACTTTGAAGGTTGGAGTGATACCAACGACGAGAAGAAAATTGTCCTGAGTAAGCCTGCTTGGCTACGGCGGGAAGATTAAGCAGCTGCAAGAGGTCATCGTGTGCCAACGAGTAATCAGATCCCCTATGCCGTTGTAGTCCCCGGCTAATTTGGACATTAGGGAGATAAGAGACTGAATTTCCCCTCATAACGGACTTGTCACATCTTGCGTAAACCTCGGTTTAGAGAAGAAAGGCATCACAATCGAAATAATTAAAACCAATGGAACTTTTGTTGAAAACCACTAATAATGAAATGATTCGTTTTTCCACAATCCATTCTTTATTCAAATAAAACATTTGCAAACAAATTTCTAACACGGTATATTTTTTATTATGACTAATTATTACTTCAGAGTGTTAAGGCCCATCCCTTTACTGCTCCATTTCTGAATCTCATCTAGCTCTCTTTGGAGACTTCTGTAAGCATTTTCATATGATCCTTCTCTCTACTGGATGGATGTATGTGTCGTCGGTAAGGAGAGATATTATTAGTTGGTTAGAACAAGGCGTGGACATAAATGAAAAAGAACAAGGCGCTGACACACGGAATGGTTTTGACCGAAGCGTTTACCGCTTCGGTTTTGCTAGGTTGTGTCACATGCTGCGGTATGATGTGCGTTTTGGCCGAAGCGGTTTTGTTTTCTCTCAGTTATTAAATGTATCCTACAGCAGTGCATATAAGCATTGAACGTCGCAAGGTGTCATTTTATAGTTTGTACAACAAGTCCTGTTTAATAAATATATTGTTCTGTAACTGTATGTAACTTCCTGTATTAATTACAGCCTTACAGACCATTCCCCCCATGCAGTACTTTTTTTTCTTTGATGAACATTCCATGGAACTGGCTACAATGTGAAATCTCACAGTTATCTACACACTACGTCTCGTTCGGTTTTCTTTTCTCTATGAAGTTTTGAAAAATGTTTAAAAATAAATATTTAAGTTGATTTATATTTAGATGGGATCTCGTGTAGCCGAATAAACGTGTCAGACTCTCAGCTCAGATCCTGCAGTTGTAGTTTCGATTCCCGTTTCGCTCCCCCAACCAAAAAAAAAAAAAAATCAATCCTCTCTGATCAATAAAAGTAAAGTAATTCCTGTTCAGAGTCAAGGAAGGTTTAAACTACTTTTCATTTTTGATACTATAATTTAAAAGGCACAGAGCTGGGATTTGAACGAGGTCCCCTTCCTCCTCCAGATAATATTCAAAACAAAATCTTTATTAAACTAGTTACTACCATGTATCACCGACAGTCATACGCATACTTTGTACCCCGTAAAGCTGCAGAAATCATTTAATTATAGGGTGATGTACTTTCAAGTAGTTGTAAAGTTAAAAGAGGCCCTGGAGGAAGGTGAGTTCGTTTTAAAAACGGGTGTGTTACTGTACAGCACCGTACAATCTGTAAATACTTAGATTTTTACCCCCCCCCCATTTTTAGTGGTGGTTAAGTATCAATATGTAAAGCTCTAGGTGTCAGTAAGTTGAGAATTAGCTAAAATTCTATTATTTATTAATCTTATTGAACTGGCATTGGCCCATTCCCCATGGAGTTCCCATGGACGAAGAGATACTTCTGGTGTCTCTGTAATCTTATTGAACTGGCATTGGCCCATTCCCCATGGAGTTCCCATGGATGAACAGATTCTTCTGGTGTCTCTTTTGTACTATGGTTAGAAGAAGAGAATGGAGAAAAAACACAGGAGAATGTGGGTTCATCCAATTGTCGAGAAGAGAAGCGAAAGAGGGCATTTTAAGAATTTTTTTCAGAGATGAGGAAACACCCTGAAGAATGTTTTAACTTTACCAGGATGTAAATGGGCAGTTTTGACGAGTTACATAATAAAATAAAATGCCGCATTACAAATTTTTTTCTCCACGTCTATTTTTTGCATCTTAAAAGTAAATTAGAAGACTGATAAACAACCCTTCAAGAAAGTGGGGTACGAACAGCTCAAATAAACGCCACATGTGTCAGGGCTGATGCAATACTTGGGTACCACTCACCGCCTGGCGTTTTCAAAACCGACGCGTTGGGTCGTCTCCGCCACCGACCGACTCGGCTTGAAAACCGACAGGCGGGTACGACCGCTACGTCTGTCAGGTTATATGCAACAACAATGAACCACGACGCACCGCCTCGATTTTTCTCACGATAAACGGTTCGGTCAAAACCGCTCCGTGTGTCATCGCCCTTAAACCTATTTCCCTCGTGCAAAGCCAGAAAGTATCTGTTTACACACCGAAATCGTTTGTTCTATTTTATCGAGTAATTCTTTTTAAATACGACTTAACTAGTCGATATGCTTCGATCAAAGGTTTTAATTTACAGCGAGAGAAAACATCCGCCAGTACATGTAATTGTCTACACCAGCAGAACAGCAGAAAGCCGAAAGAGCTTACTTTTTTTTCATAACCTTTCGACATTAGCCATGATCTTCCTCTTCCTTCCTTTAAACTATTAAAACATAATCATACATAATAAATTGCCCCAAGTGATATTATTTTATTGAGTCTAGTCTGACCTGAGGTCCTTAAGACGCCTTGCTGAAGTAGGTTTTCAGGTTTTCTTAATAATTTTTACTCAAAAGAAATTATTAAATTACTTGAGCTTGACCTGCTTATTGTGGGTTGTACAGAAAATATAAAATCTCAAATCTGTTTATATCATGGATTTTTCATACATATATAATGTACTAAGCATATTAGCCAAGGGTAGCGTGAATAAAGAGCCCGAGTCGACGGTGGGCCGATTTTGTAAAATTAAAAAAAAAACTGCCAACGAATTCAAAGATTAAGTTGTTGAAGGTAAGCATGTTCATCTACATATTTTGTATGCTGTATTTTTTCGGAAGAAATGTAATTATTCTGTAACTGTATGTGTCATTTCTACTTTTGGTAGGGAAACTGACAAACTGACAGAATAATAGATAAATTTTCAATCCTTTTTTTTATAACCAGCACACACCAGAAGGGCGCACCCACACAACAACCCCCCAGCATGCCCAGCCCCACAACCCGTCCCCAGCCACAGGGAGTCCCATGTTACACATTGCTCGTTTATATTTTGTTGAGTAGATTAGCTTCATTTAAAAAGTAAAACAGCTTTTTAAGTGTATCTTGATCGTCCCCTAAAAGTTCAGGTAGTGTGTTTGGTAAGGCGTACTTATTTCTGATACTGTCATATAGGTGACATGAAATAAGCATATGTTTCATAGTCACACTCTCATTGCATAAATGACAGATCGGTGGTGGCTGACGAGCCATCAAGTATACCTTGGTGGCTCTACAGTGCCCGATTCTCATCTTAGTTATGATCGCTTCTGCTTTTCTTCTGACTCTAAATGAGGAAGGCCACATTCGAACAGTGGATTTTATTTCCTATTTTATTTAAGGAAGCTTGTTATGTGTGACATCTGACCAAACCTTTTGCCATTGTGTTCATACTTTAATTTCTAACGCGCAATTTAAATCATTCCTTGTGATCTCGCTGATTTTGGTGCCATTTACTGCAGCCTCCGCTAGTTGGTAGCCTAAAATATTCATATGCCCAAGGATCCAAACAAAAATGACACTCTTCCCTCGCTGTGAAAGACACCTCGGTGAATAAAGGGCATCCTGGACCATGAGATTATTTGAGAACGGGTGGTTCAAGGCCTGTAGGGCGGACATCGAATCAGTGCATATGACCAGTGTATTGTTCGAGCAATCAACATTCAGTGATTTAATATTGCCGTCATTTCAGCTGTATAGTTACTTGTTATTGAGTTTAAGGAGAATAAATATCCGAAAATACGTATGTTGCTGAGGGTAGCTTACTCTTGATGGTTAAAAATTCTTGTTTATATATATATAGCTANTAGTCTAGACGCGATCGCACAAGAGTTCTGTATAAACATGTAAGCCCCTTGCGATCAGCACCCCATGAACATGAGCTTACGGCCTTCTTGACATTTAGTGCTTGGGAACACTTGGATTTCAAAGTTTTCAAGTGAGCAGACCAATTTAAATTCTTATCAAAGATAACTCCAAGATAGGGGACTCGATCTACGAGTTTGATTGGGTTATTTGAAATATAGAAAATTGGACAACTACTAGGTCGTCTTTTAGCGAATAGAATTCTTGCTGACTTTTCAATGGATAAAAGATTGATACTTACATAAAAAAAATCATATGCTACAAATGATAATATTCACACAGACCAAAATGTATTTCAAGCACACATTTACATTTCAAGTATATTCAGTTCATCAAATTTTCTTCTATGGCGTAAAGGGAACTGATTTGCTTTTGCATAAGGGCTATTGACGGGACTTGGTACGAAATTCTCAAATAGCATGATTTATGGATGGTGTCATAAATGCCAAAGACGTTGAAACTTCGAAGCGAGCCGACGACAGGAACGCACTTTTTGAGATGACTGAAGAGGACCAAGCCGTTGCTTCATAGACTTTAGTTGGAACTTTTTTACTTAATAAGTACACCATAAGGTGAAACCTAAATTTAACTAAACTTGTGAACATATAATTAAAGAACAATTGACAAGTTTTTAATTTTTTTTTTTTAGTTTAGTTTTATTAAATAAATCTTTTAATTCAATCATGTAAGTCACTTAATACTTAATAACCTTTTCTAATAAACAATTTTTTTTTCAATTTATTTAGTTTCTTCTTTTACAAAATTTGGCATTACCCCACTCTTAAATGAATAAATGTAATCCCAAATTTTCAATATTTTTATTTATTATAAACTACATTAAGTACAATAATACTAAAATGATAAGGTATGAGGAAAGATTAAATTTCCTCACATTTCCTTTGCTTATAACATGCACTATCCATTCCAATACGTAGTCTGCTCTAGTGAAAAGAATTTCACTGTGATTACAAAGCCGACTTTTTAGGCCAGTAACGACGCCAAAAAATACTTGCCCGTCGGAAAATAATGCAGCTTCGTCAAAATTTGGGCAAAATGGTGATTTAAAACTGACAAGGGTGTATTGTGTCTGGTCTTTGTCTCTCTGGTCTGGAAACATCTGCACGTTAGGATTTATTAGTTACGCATTACAAAATTTCTATTCCACCTTTGTGAATACGGAAATATCCACTTTCAATAGAATTTAGAACGACCAAACGAACGATCTTCAGTTTTTGGTTATCTTCATTTTCTCCAGACCAAGAAATAAGGGACGTCGCTAACTGTGTTCTGTGATGTACTGAATAGTTCGCAAACAACATTTGTTTGAAACGGTAAGGTTTGTCGGACTGTGAAAAGTATAATTCTTTTACATTAACTTATCTAGATTACAGGGTGTTGAGCTGAAAATGTGCCACACAGTTTTTTCAAAAACTATTGTACTTAAAAACACACAACTAACGCCAAAGTTTATGTGGATATACTATTAGCGTAAGTTCAGGTTGTAAGTCCTTATACGGGACTCCTGTTACCTATCCATATAAACTAATAACGGTTTTAAAAAAGAAAATAAACCTTTCATTAAATCTAAGGGTGAAATAAAAATCTTTAAGCATTATGGCGTTATGGGAGAGGGTACTATTGTTGTGCAATTTCCAAAGAGGAAAATTTTTATCTATTCTCAATTATAATTGTACAAGGCTGGCTCAACCGTGCGAATAATACTAACCTTACTGTCGTGATCTGACCCGTAGACGCTAAATGTGGAATCAAAAATATTAAGGCAACGTAAATGAACCGAGTTTCCGAGAATCTCTTGCTCATCAAGAGACAGTTCATGTTGCTCCCTGAGAATCTGAACGGCGTAAGTCGTTGACAAACGAAACTTACTTTTGGGAAAAAGCCCACCTAAATACAGATAACGGTTTCTCAATATGTCTAACGTAATTAAAGGGTGTCATCCCTTGGCTCCATAAAAAGAGTGAGTTGTAATGTCACCCCTTATGAGCATTGAGATCAAGTAGGGCGGCAAGAATCTTCGGGTCCCCTGTTCTAATTTTTGGAGGAAACTGGAGTGTTTTCGTATATAATGAACTTATATTTTAATCAATATGATTGTTTATACAAAACATTTAGTGATCAATGAATTTTGTGTTGACTGTTTCGTGAAAATGAATTTATAAGTGTGAATGTGTGTGGTAAAGAGCATCGATGGCGGATTACCAAGTACTCCATCGAACCTCAATTATACTTCTCAATATGTGTAGTTGTTTATAAGATAACCATGTGCTAAGTAACTGTTACTCCATCACACTAATTGAGTGAATGATATATATAAAAGAATGATTGTCTAGATTAAAACTTCTTTGGGTGTAAATCGCCTAGTTGTAAATAGCCCCTGGAGACTTCGGCGGTGGTACAGATAAGAACGAGGTCCTGTATGAATCAATCAATAATTCTTACGATAATCTCGTTATCAACTTATTAGTTTCCAAACCGTTTGCGCTTCATCTCAAAGCTAATAGACGAGAAAAAATGAACTAAATATTGTTCGAAATACTTCCCTTGAGTAGGGAGCGCACTATACTAACTGTATCGTCAAGGTACAACATTCGTATGTTTTGCAGCAAAATTAATCACCAACTAATCATGTATGTGACTTTAGTATAAGCAGTAAATATAAATAAAATTTATGTTTCCTTTTGACTTGTGCAGAATGATGAACGGTAATCATTTCCGATAATTTTGGTCTCCCATTTCTACAAGTATAAAATCTGTACAAAAATGTTTTGAATAAAAAGACAACGTCGGAAGGAGTACTCTACAAAACTACAAAATAATAAAGCTAATGTCAGCACATAGACATCGGCGTTAAGTGTGTCTTTTTTATATGTATGTATAGAGGATTTTGTGAAAAGTGAGTGGGACATTTTCAGCTTTGTATTTTGCAACTCGATTCTATAAAGACGTTAACCAAATAGGTATTACAGTTCATTTCTCGTGTCCATCAAATGTACGCTCCCAGATCATTGATTTCTAAATCATTTCAGACCCCATGCCAATTAGCTTTACAAGAAAATTATTAATTTTTTTCATCTTACCAAACTAATGATTGTATTTTTTTAACAGTTCTTGAAAATTACACATTAATAAATATATACTGCTATCATGTGGTGCTATCAAAAAAAAAAAAAAAAAAAAAAGTAATATTTTTTAGTCGAGATTCAAATTTTTACCTTTTATGAAGAAAAATTATACATGGTACTTCGGGCCCAGTTCAACATCAAAATTTTAAATGCCGTATACATCCTGACACATCATTTTAAAGATTTTTTATGCTGAAAACAATTGGATTTTAAATTGGTCAGAAAATGACAAAGATATGGCAAAACGTTTAAGAAAAAAACCGGCATTTGTTTAGCTATTTTTTAACACATTTCATGTTTGAACTGCCTTGCGTTCAGATGCAAAAATTTACCTTTTTTTTAACCACTCTTCATCAATGCTCTTAGAGATCAGAGACAGTGCAGATGGATTGACAAGTATTTTCTATCTTTTGCCGCAGTTCTTCAACTGAGGTTTGCTTATGATTAAAGTAATCACTGTTTTTTAAATGGCCTCACACAAAATAATCAAGTGGAGTTAAATCGAGTGACCAAGGAGGCCAACAAATAGAGCGATCAGGTCCTATCCACCTATCCCGGAAGTGATGATTTAAATAACATCTCACCTTCAAAGAATTGTTGGGCATCCATCAAGCTCGAGAATTATGCTTTGTCGTTGTTGTAGAGGAACATCATATAATAGTGTTGGTAAAACTGCCCTCAAAAAATGGAACTGAGCACTATTTTCATTATTTTCGTAGGATTATTTACTTCCGAGAAGTCCACACCCAGCGTTGCTCCTGTAAACCGCCTGACGATGACATGAGTACGAATGTTCGGATTTTCCCCCTGTCATCGTTCGAAAATTCCAATGGTTTAGTATGCTATTAGAGGTGAACTTGGATTCATCAGTCCATAGGATGTATGTAAAAACGTATTCTTCGGCCCAAATCGACATTTGTGCAAGAAACTTTAGACACCTGTCACAATCAGATTCTCCAATCCCTGACAAGATAAGAGCGATACAGCTTAAAATTGTAAGTCCGGAATACATTTTTTTTCGCGAACAAACAGTAAAATTTTAGCTCCTCGTCGAAATTACACTGCCGGTCGTTTGCCATAACTTTCTCATTTTTGACTAATTTAAAATTCGATTGGACCATTGTTTTCATCGTAAAAAATTCTTGAAAATGATGCGTCAAATTGTATAGGGTCGTACTAGAATTTTTTAACTGGGCCTGGTGTATCCCCTTCAATTTTTTTCCAAAATATGTAATATTTGAATCTAAAAATATTAAATACGTATTTTTTTTATAGCGTCATTGGTTCAAGAGAAGTTCAGCCGGATCATTAAAAAACACCCAGTATACTAGGAATTGAATGTGTTCGCAAAATATAAATGTTACATCCTAAAAATAGGTAAAAGTAACATAATTCAATAACTGAAATGAAATATTACCTCAACTCTAAATGGCAATTTGGCAGTGTGCACAAATTTCCCAAGATCAAATGGGGTTTCCGAAATAGCAATTCCGAGGTCGTACTTGATGAAATTTCCATATTTTTCGCAGCCTGGATGTACTATCAATAATTTGACTTTTCTGGTCACTCCTTTTCTTTTGGCATTTCTAAGGGTTGTGATCCCAGCGACAATAATCAAATCGTCCAAATTTAACCTGCTTTGTCTGCTGGCTTGTGTCGGAGACGTTAAGCAACTGCAAGAGGTCATCGAGTGCCATCGAGTAATCAGAACCCCTATACAGTAGAATTCTTCTTCTAACTTGGACATCAGGGAGATTAAAAACGGAATTTCGCCCGGTAATGGTTCATATATTGTCACGTAATTGTCATCATTAGCACCGTTAGAAAAGAAAATAATCATATCTAGAGCAATTAGCACTGATAAAGTATTTCTTTGCGCTGAAAGCATTGTTCCAATTGCATAGATACGATTCAATTGCTTCACATTCAGTGCTTTCTACAAATACAGTTTCAATATCGGTATAGAATTGAATATAATTCAACAAACGAAATTTGTTACCACGCACATATGAGAGTGTAATAAAAACAATATGTCAGTGTTTAAGATTTACTACAGTTATTTTATTTATGTTCCATTTCGGTAGCACTTGAATAAATTTAAAAAAATTTTTTTACCGAAGACATGTCATCATCTAGTGTCAAGTTAATAGTTATTGCTATCTGGTGAGAATATAATCCGATATAACGGCTCATAATTTGGTGACAATCTGCAAATAGAAATTTTAAGAGAAATCAAAATGGAAAACAAGATTTTAGGAGTTACACGGTCAAATCCCTGACTTGCATACAAGCGAAAATTATCGAACAACTGTTGCTACTATTGAAGACTTGCTGAACGCCTAGATCATTTCTTTCCCAGGATAATTTGTGGCTTCCCGTGGGAATAGTCTCCCTTTCCACCACACTCCCCAACCATCCCTAACCAGAAAAAAAATATTTCCGGTTCCGGTTGGCCGGTACTCTTCAGCTAAGGTTCAATTTCAATTTTCATATGGATCCTATATTACTACCATAACCCTCATAGGGAAACATCCCCAAGGAATTGATAAAAAAACTAGTCAACTCTAGAGGTGACCAATGATGGACTGACTGATGGTGACTGTTTCCATTCCTTCTTTGACCTTCCATTTCTTATCCTTCTGTCCTGCTTGAGGAACCTGGAATTATCCAAGGTTCATCAGAGACCACCCCTCCGGCAACTGATTAAAACTGCAGGGGGTTACAAGGACCCCAGGGTGGGCTACCAGTTCCACTTTAAAAATAATACTGAACTGTTCGAAGCATAGGGCTGGGAACAAAAAGAAGACCAGTTATCGGCTTAGCCCCGTACACTAGTTGCTCCTTCCAACGGTGACCCCAAACACAGTTTACGAGATCGATGTTCCCTAATAGGTGCTACTTCCATGTTCGGAGGCATCTGGTCCGTTACTTTTTTCCGGGAGGCCTGTAGTAAGCATGGGTACCCGTCAGCAATCGTGAGGATATGGGAATTGCAGATGCTTAAGGAACACTTGTACCTTGGCTATCAACCCACCTACAAAGATAGGCACATTCATGCCAAAATGTTGCACCAAATTAGCGATCTAGGAGGCCAACAGTGCCTGCGCAGAATAGCTCTGCACCCTCAGGTCAAATTCGCCTACCCGCAGTCCTGGTTGGAGCAATCAATTCACAGCCCTCCCGGTTCACACTACGCTCTTTAGATCATAGTCCTTATAGCCTCCACCTTCACAGCAGAGGCTACACAACACAAGTAACACAGAATCGCATCACGTTAGGCTCCTGCCTTGGCTAATTATCATCACTGGATCGACGAAAAGTTTGATGCTAAGCAACTTTACTGATACAGATGGTTAACAGACGATGCATCCTCCTTTAAAAACACGACTCAAACTGAACTTAAATCACCCTTGAAGACATCATAGCAACGAGATTACAACGTATAACTTCATTTCTAAACATTTGGCAAAAAACAGCCCAATATTATCTAACAACTGATAATTCCTCAAAAGACATCACACATAGGCACTGACCACTAAAGATAACTCGTCATCAACAAACGGATCGTTGACCAAATATAACGAGTATAAGCCAGAGCCATACATATCCGTACTTGACGAATCTCTACAACTTTACTTTCCTAAAAAAAAATTACCTAGCCAAAAGGGGCGCCGGTGGCAGTAGCAGAAACAACGGTACCCGGAGGTTCATATCACTTCTGCTGTTGCAAACCCTTTTAGGTTTTAGTAGATATTGTTCATACAGGATTAATAATTATAATTACGTATGTAATTTTGATATAATAAGAGATAATACACAGTAGTAATCATGAAAATGTTAACCTCAATTCATATTTTACATAATTTAATTAAACGAGGACATATTATTTTTGAAATATGTATATACATTTGTACAATGGCATTTCTTGAACTTTAAAAAAAACGCTCATTAGTCTTTCAGACTTTATTTAAACAGAAATTAGTTTTTAATAGTATGTAACTAACTGGTCATAACAAGCAGCGATGCAGTCAAAACAATCACAAAAACTGAAGGAACAGCACGGCTTGTATCCCCCAAAGTTAAGATATAAGTGATCCAATACATTGAAGTCTCTATCGACCCAAAATAGTAAACCTTGTCGCACATATTATTACAATTGTAAATTCCTACAAATTGGTCATCGCAGAAGACCGAGGAGCCGGTTAACTTGTCTGAACACAGAAAGAGCATACTTGTCGTCGTACAGAAAAAACATTCGTTGCAGTTGAACATTTCTGAAACTGAGGAGCAATCCTTCACCATTTCGTCATTGGGCAAAATTAAAAATAATCTTTACCATTTGTCGCTAAGCTGTCGGTCGAGCATTGTTCTTTATTCACGTTTTCCTTTCCGGCACGCAAGCTGTTGTTTGCAAACCATGATAACATAAAGCAAGACTGATCTTTGGGAATTGAAAAGTTAGTTGCACCCTAAAATTAAAAAAAAAAGTTTTTCTTAGCAACAGAATCTTCAAACATGGTCAGCTGATCCCGCAGACCTGGTTGATCCTCGTGGGCGCGGGGACGACTAACGCGCTCCTTCAGCAAGATAGGGTATACTTTGTCCCCTATCGCCCTCCACAAATATTACATAACTAAATTTAGGGTCGATGGGGTACTCCTTTATTCCTCTCACACTACACATTTACGCTGATTAAAATTGAACCTCTCTTATAGGCTCGAACAACTTTTTTCTCTCACATATTCTTCATAATCTGGGTAAGAGCCAAGTTTTGGACTTTTCCGTTAGTTTTCCTTTAATTTTTTACTAGAGAAGCTCACATCGTTTCGTTTAGAGAATACGCAGAATCATGATAATTTATAAAAAGAAAACGAAAATGTTTTATGAAATTTAGATAGGTACATTTTTTTATTATTAGGGATCTATATAATAGCTTAAGTTATCATTTTACCATGAATCATATTCGATCGCTTTTCACTTCTCCAGCTGTTTTACACATTACAGTACTAATGAATAAGAAATGAAATGTCAGCTTACTGATGAAGGCAAGACAAAAATCTCCATAAAATCTGCCGCAATACAGGCAAGGAAGAAAAATGAACATAATTATGTACCTACTTGAAAACTTCATTTATCAAAACTGAAGGGATTAACAAGATCATATACGTATTACTATTATACATGGTATTTCTTAATTTACAATTACTTATGTTTATAGACACATACATTATGTTATCATCTGACTGACCTCAACAAAACCTCTCACAATTTAACTTTTAAATTTGTCTGAATTTTTGAAGGTTTTTAGTGTATTCTATGACAGACGTTTTGGTTATTGGTTTCAAATTGATTTATTTTAAATAACATTAAACAATTTAACAAGTCAATCAGGCAATTAAGGTTAAAAAAAAATAGCGAATATACCTCAGTGTAGAAGACCAGGTTAGCTGGGGCGACGTATTCCGTGATTATCAACGGTGATCTCAATAGGACGACTCCAATATCGTATGCAGTGGCGTAAGGCGTTGTTTTACATCCAGGATGTATGCTTATAATCTTGATATCACGTATCTGCGCGTATGCCTGCTTTGTTTGTTCTAAACTCACTATCCCTGCGACGACTTTAAATTCGTACGAGTCCTTGATCTGCCTCCAGGTGCCCATACCTTTGGCAAAGCTTAAGCAACTCGATACGATGTGCCACGTTGATACGATTGTCCCGCTGCAACAGTAAAACAATTTCCTGTTTGTCACCATTGCTAACGAGGGGTGCTCTTTTAATTCGAGAGCCTTTGAATTCACTGTCATCGAGCAGAAGTAAACAGTTATTAAAGCTATTACAAATAATAAAGTTTGTTTCATTTTTATAAAACTTAGTATTTTTTCATCATTAAATGATAGTCACATGTAACAACATTTTTTAACGATTTACTTTATCATAATATATTTTTTAAGTTGGGATTGTCCAGCAGTTTGGTAGTACTTTGAGACGTGTTTCGACTTATCGCCATCATCAGTCCAAACTTAATGAGAAAAGACAACAAAACAATCGGAACGACCGAACTACAGATTCATCATCTTGCAGATCCCACAAATAGAATAGTTATTTTAATTTTTTTTAAACTGTTCTCCCTGCAAAAATTAACATTTACAATGGTGAATTACAGTTATGAGTGGTTTTTGTTTTATTTTTTGCGGAACATGATTATTAATAAAGCCTAATTTAAAAAATGTCGGGTGTTTTTGAGTCTTAAAAGCGTTCTTTTTAACTTTATTTTGTTACAAATTGACAACAATCAAAAGATTAATGACATGGATAAAAAGTAAAGAGTACACAGCATATCGGTAATAATTCAACGATAAGATTAAAATAGAACGTGTTGAGGATTTTCAAGTTTTTTTAAATTGTTTATCTGGATTGGACCTTGTGACCAAAACCATTAAAATGATCATCGTGTGTCACCATGTGCGAGACTTATAATATATAAAACAAATACACTCCTTGAGAAAGAGAACCCATCCGAATGTACATTCGAATTTATTTAATCACTGAAAACGACAAATGAAAGACCATACTGGGTGCTGAGATAGGGCTGTGAGCAGACCAGTTTGACAAGATCCCAACGTTCGTCGCGTATTTTTGTACAGAGTGCATCGCTGGTGAAGTATTTGTTGTTATTTACTCCCTTGCCCGTTTTGGCGTCTTCGGCGGTCATTAGGGTCGACTTTTTGAGAAGGACTTCGAAATCGGCCGGGCTTTCGGACCTGCCAACTAGGATCTCGATGAAAGCGGAGTTTTCGTTGCAAATGTCCACGGAGAGGATCTTGCTCGGTTTTTCCAACTCGATAACTACGCTGATCTCCTTGTCCGAAGCGCTCTTGCACTTCCATTTTGTCCTGAAGCCATAGTCGAGTAGATTTTCAGCTTGGTGGTTCTATTGTGTATAAAAATTAGAAATAAAAAACATATGCAACAACATAAATCTGGTATAACATTTTACGTACGGAATCTTCACTGGAAACACTGACAACTTTTTTAAGTTTTATGGGTGGCATTTTCTGCCCGACAAAGTTGAAAAATTATAAGAATCGCACGAAATTCAAAAATCGTAATTCTCAATTATCTAGCAATGTTGGCCACAACAACGCTATTGTCAATAAACAAACTTAAGCCTATAAATAAATCCACATGTTATAACCACATCTGTCAATCTTAAATAAAGTTACATTTTACTTCTTTTTTATCATCAAATCTTTACAAAATTATTTCAACCAACACACCAAAGAAACGAAGTTTTATTTAAATGATGTAAAGATTATTTACTTAAAGTTCTATTCTCAAATCGATAAGGATCCTCAACTGTAAGAAAGACAAGATATTGCAAACTTTATTATTAGGGGATGACATCAATTTCATCACCAAGACGTAAAAGGTGTCCGATATAAGAATCTATATCTTACAATATCTATAATAAAGATGATTATTGGCAAAAATGATTTCCTTTGTTATACATCAAACGACAATGACAAAGACAACCTCGGTAGAGTTGACCAAATATAAAGTGAAATAATATTTATAAAGAAAATATAAATAAACAAAACAAAATACAAATAATAGTCGCGTGGATTAGGGTTGTGTTCAGAAAAACAAATGTTGTACCAACGCCGAGCTTTCGACGATATATTTCGTCTATTTCAGGGTCTACTCTATGTACAATAAAACAACCCTATTTTCTCCAAAAATGGGATTAAACCTTGTATGTTGTTATTTTTCAAAATTCCTTAATTAAGTTTTCTTTCAGTAAAAAATAATAATTTCTAATAAATTTTAGTGCAATTTATAAAAATAAAATAAGATAAAAATTCTATGGCAATATTGGCAATATCCCTATTTATTTTTGAACAGATGAAATAACTATTCGGAGATCTGGGAGAGCAACAATGCTTGCTGGCTCCCCTCAGGATCTTTGTAAATGATAAATAGTGTATTGCATTGTGTAATGTAGATATTTGTACATATTGTAATAAATAATAATAATTTAAAAAATGTATAGTTTATTAGGAATGGGTAATTTAAGCTTTATTTCTTCTCGTATGGGCATTTCATATGGCATGAAATTCAAAAAGGGTTTAGACCTAGCAGAATTAAATCTGCTGGAACTATAAGCTTTTCGAATTTAGCTAAACAATAATATATAATAAGGTTCGATCGCAAAGAAGTGCCAACTGTAAAAGAAAAATTTATATTTTTTATTGCAAGGTGTGTACTGCACTTATGACATCTGTCCATTAAAAAAAAGAAAAATCATTTCTTTAATTTGATCCAGTAAGACTCGAACTTATTTGTTCAAATAAATTCCACCAGGTTGCACTTTAGCGCCTTTTTGTCTATTGTGTACAACGACTACCGCCTAACCGACCAATATAACAGCAGTTAGTAGAAACCTCTCATAAATTGTTTACTTCGATCTCGACTTGTATTAATATAATTATGTTCTTTTGTATATAATAGTCGTCATTAACATATTTTATGCAAAGTAATAATGCCATTTATCAATAATGCCTATTGTAAAAATTGAAAGAGTTGTCAGTGTTTCTAGTGAAGATAAGGTAACTTTTGGGCTCAAATAATATTTGCTCAAGAGAAAATCTCACGTTAATATTTATTTTTAAAATTACCTTTTTACCTTGTTATTTTAATGCCATCTAATATATGAGAAATCACTAAGTTATATAATTATCCTGATTAATTTTTAGTTGTTCCTTGTTTGATTTTTAGAACCATGAAGCTTCCAACCTACTCCAGAGAGACTTCAGTAATAAGAAATGGAAATGCAAGACTCCAGGCGAGAAGAACATAAGTGTGATCCTTCAACTGGAAAAGGCATGTAAAATCGTTGCGGTAGACGTTGGAAATGAAAATTCAGCATTCATTGAAATACTTGTCGGTCATTCGGCTGAACCGGACACTCTTAAGCCCCTTCTTGTCACCTCGTCCCTCATGACTCTCCAGGAGGGAAAAAATGGAGACAACACCAACGGTGTCAAATTTTTTAAATCTGAATCGTTTTGCGAATCCGTCAAAGATGAGAAATGGGATAGGGTCAAGCTGGTCTGTACGCAGCCGTACAACAAATATTCTCAGTTTGGTCTCTCTTTTGTCACTTTCCACAGTGATGAACATGATTTGCCGGCTTGTAATTTTGGCAAGTTCCAGCTCAAGGTGGAGAAACAGAAACAACCGCTTTTGCAGGCTGGTGGCCTATTCGCTCAAAGAAAGGAGCTGAATGAACTCACAGGTAACTTGAACCATGAAGAAATAAGTGTCCATTTCTTCTTTTTATTAAATTAATTTTTTTCAAGACCATTATCATACAATTTATCATGTGATATATGGTGATAATGACCCCTGATGCCTAGGTGCTGCCGCAGTTCATGCAGCTAATAGGAATATTGGTGATATTAAGCTGCCTTCATCTATAAAAAACAAGTTTGTTGTTGTCAATCCTGTCACAACGGATGATGTTGATGAACAAACTGAAGAGGTCAACTCAACTAGTAAGTTTATCAATTCTACTATAATTAGTCTTGCCAAGTTGTAATTCATTTCATTATAATTTGAATCGGTAGGCTAGGGTGAGAGTGAATGTGTTTGTTAAAAAAAAATTAAAAAATCAAACATCACTATGATTTATTATGTAATATCAAATAGTATACATAAAAAAATAAAAAGTAAAGAAAGCAATTCTTGTCCATTACAAATTTAAAAAATAATTAGAAAGAAAATAAGAATTTTAAAGGAAAATAAACTTTAACAGTAGCAAACAAGAAAAATGTAAAGTGAAAGTTAGAAAAAAAAATTCATAAATTAGCAGACAAATTGTAGATTTGTAGACATTTTGTAGATTTTTAAACGCTAACTTATACAGGTTTTTTTAATTATAATATTTAATATTACCACTATTCACAATTACTGCCTTCAGCATGCTCTAAATTACTTTGTACGTGTTGTGGAAAATAAAAGTATATACTCTATGAGAATTTCTCTAACTGCAGCATAATTTAGTGTGTAACATTAAATAGTATATATAGAAATAAAAAGTAAATTAAAGCAACTTTCTTATTAAAAAAAAAAAATTAAAAAAAGAAGTACAAGAAAAATAAGTAGAAAGAAGGAAAAAAATGAACTTGTAACAACAGCAAACTGAGAAAAATTTAAAGTGAAAGTTAAACAAAAAATTGTTCATAAATTAATAGACAAATTGTAAATTCTTTTTAAAGCTATCATATACAGAATTTTTTAAAAAGCAGATGGAAACTTTACATTTCTGACATCAATGGTCAGTTTATTATCATTTTTGCATGCTGTAGTAAAGAAAAGAATTTTGGAAAAAGGGTGTTTTATGTAGGAGGATAAAGATCCGTAGGATTTACACAATTTGACCGCGATCTGATAAGTTTTGTTAAATAAATAGCTGAGAGATAGGGAATATTAAAAATCTAAGTTCATAGTAAGATTTGTTTTCAGACACAAAGTCTCCGCCGGTGTAATTTGATATAATTTTTTTTAAATACTAAAATGCAGAGAAAGGAATTTAGAGTATACTCAAGGAACTAATTTTGAGTAGTTTTATTCTAAAAAAAAAAAAAAAAAAAAAAAAAATTGGCTTTACAAACATCTAATTAAATAATATAATAATAAAATACATTTTAGGAGTTTTGTAAACTTATATTATTCAGTTGTTTAGAAAGTTAATATCTCTCTTCCATTAGACTGTTTAGTTCAAAAGTTAGACAGAGAGCAGTGTTATTATTATTTTTCTTTTTTAACAGCCATTCTTGTCTAGCACAAATACGTTATTTTTAAATACCAGGTTGTTATTCAGTTTGTTTTTAACTATTTCTATTACAGCCAAACAGAAGAAACAAAAGACTCCTAAGGTTAAGAAAAATTCTGAAAAAAGAAATGCATCACCTGCAAGTTCAACACCTACAAGCTCTGTTAAAAAGAGAAAAACTAACGACCAAAGCCCAAACTCGAAAGTTGTTGCACCAAAGCCAGTAAAGAAATGTGCTGAAAAATCTTTCAATAAATTCTTCGAAAATGTTGTTTTCGTCATCAGCGGTTTTCAAAACCCATTGAGGAGTGATATAAGAAGTAAAGGTTTAGCTATGGGAGCAAAATACAAAGCTGACTGGGACGCATCTTGTACTCATTTAATGTATGTGTAATAACCACTATAAAAAATAGCGTATATAATAATATGATTTATTTAGTTGTGCGTTTGCCAATACTCCAAAATTCAACCAAGTGAGAAACAAAGGGAAAATAGTAAAAAAAGAATGGTTCGAGGACAGTTATGCAAAGCGAATTGCTTTACCTTGGAGAAGGTAATCAGAGATGTTATTTGAAAATATTAGTCGTATAATGAAGATTTTTTTTCAGGTATGCACTTGATCCTAATGATTTACATCAGAAAGAAAGCGATGAGGAAATTTATGAAAAGGTAGACAAGCCAAAGAGAATTGATAATCGTAGGCGGATTTACGACACTGACTCTGAGGACACGGAGGATGAACTCGAGCAAGTGCGGCAGGCCCAGAAAAAGAAAAACCGGACATCCGTTGAAAAAATTCAACCCCAGCCCACTTCCCCAGAAAATGTCGCAGGCCCATCTAGAGCACCTGTCCCACCAGCCAGAAACGATGATGTCTATAATGCGGATACAGAAGAGGAAGAGTTTGGTATGATAGAAAATAGCAGTGATTCTGAGGAAAACCTTCCACATCTCCATAGATTTTTCCAGTGTATGACCTTTCTACTCCTTGATGATGTAGAAGAAAAAGAAAGAGAAAAACTTCAAAGATACATTGTAGCACATGATGGGTATGGTTAACTTTAATTTTATCAAAACACTCATACAACTACTCTGGGAGGCAAAAAAAGTGGCTACCCTCATTTTTTCAATACTTCAATATTTTTAAAGAAAACTATAAGATAGTTAAATTTAAAAAAATAAATAAATAAATAAAGTAAATAAATAAATATAGAAAGAAGCTTTACGGAAAAACCAACGAAGAAGAGATTCAAAGACTATTCAAAGATTTATGTACAAAATTCAATTATAACATAAATGCGAGATTTTATTTTATTTATTTCTTAGTTTTATTTTCTCCTATAATAATAACAAATTAAATATTGTATACGTAATCAATGGAGGATTTTCTAAGAAGTAATTAAAAATATTAAGGGGGGCCACTTTTTTCCGCTCATGTATCTAATAACATTAATAATTTTTTAAAAACTGTTTTCTAAAATTTAATAATATATCAATTTTGGTTGTCGTTTTAAAATCTGAATTTCAGTTTTACCATTGTGTAAATGTGATATACACTCAAAGACAAACAACCAAACTCTTGTATTTATTTGTATATTTTCCGTAATAACTAAGTGTGAAGATTAATAGTACAATGAAAACAGACATTAATGGTTTGTTTTGACTTTTATAGATTGTTATTAATCTTTTCACACTCTTTAGATTAAAAATAAAGAAAATCAGTTTAATTTCTTGCTACCATAGCTAACTTGTCGAGCGAGTTTTTTTTTTTTTTTTTTGATAATACAATAAAATTGAGTGAACAATTAATTATTAATGTTTTTTTTAAAGCATGGCTTTAAGTAGAGAAGATCATCTCCCAGGCAGATGCTTTGGCCAATGACGGATGTAGTATTCATTACATAGCCCAAGTCCTGGATGTGCCGTGTTCTACGTTCATGATAGTCTACAGTAGTTTTGGATCACCGGAAGTGATTTTCCGGTGTTTTGATGAATTTTCTTTCATACCATCATAATTAAATAATTTTTATTAAAACTCATGAATTTCTGATATCATTTAATTTAGTTACATTAAAATAAGTAAATGGTTGTAATTAGTATAATGAGAAATATATATATATATAGTTTGAAATAGACAACAAAATATGAGTTAACGGTTATTTTGCCTTTGAGTGTATATTTTAGTTCTTGTTTACGCCAGTTTTGAACTCCGTGCGTGGGGGGGGCAGTCGGATCGAGTTGGATTGCGAATTCGAATACTTAAGTTTACTGTTGTTTTTTCACTGCGTTTAAATTTTTAAATTGTCGTTATGCTTATTCGGGCGATAATTACATGGTTCTGCGCTTCGTCATCGCAGTTTGTCGAAAATTCGTTAGTACTCCACCACGAGGTAAGGGTTTCCATCCAGTTTTCCTTCCGGCGATTTCTACCCTTCCCTGTCCACCTCCCCCGATTCCTCGTGGATGAAGGAAAGCGACGAGCAGAGGGTGAGTTAATTTTAAAAATTTAATTTAATTTTATTTTTCGTCGGTCTTTATACAGTCCGGAACGTTTGGTCGGGTTGTTGGTTATCTTGTCGTTTGTAGTTGAATGTAATCAGAAAATAATTTTGTGGGTTATAATGACCAGGAACGAAATAGAGAATTTAATTAAAATGTTGACCAAAAAAATTCCGCTCTTTCAGAGAGTTCAAGCATTTACGATCTTCTCAACCAAATTGAGACACGGCAGGCTTAAACATTTTAAAACAGCATATGTGGTGTTGGAGAACACGGTGGCCGAGTTCGACCAAATCGAGATGCAAATTAACGAAATTTCAATTTAATTTGATGATTCGTCCGAACCTAGTTTTAACATGGCATTAGGGGATTTGACAGAACATATTCAGAATGTTACTGGGAGTCTGTTTGAGTCTGCTCAGAAAACTAGAAAGGTATCCACTCCGATTTCTGTAGCAAAATCCTATTCCCTTCGTTTACAAAATAAAAAAATTGTAATAAAATTCCTTTGTTCGACGGGTCTCTGTCCTTATAACCTGTCTTTTATGAATTGTTTATACCTCTAGTCATTGAAGATATGTCGAAAGAACGCTTTCAAACAATTCAATCTTAAAAGTCTTGGGGACTTCGTTTCATGAACCGGGGTTTGAATATTTTAGATCCTATAAGTAGACGGGATTTTGAGGCTGCGTACCGGACGAAAGATATGCCCTCATATAAAGATTTCATCCAATCCTTAGAAAAACATAAAATCTACGGTAGATTTCACGCCGGAGGTATAATTTTCACATCTTTAGGATGATTGGCTGGCACATGTCTTATCGTTTTGGTATGAACTTCGCTTATCTTAGGATAAAAATTGTGTATCTAATGTTTCTGTGATAAATATAGAACCGTTCTAACAACACCGGCCTAACACTCACCCAAAAGAAAAACTTTACAAGACCGTCCAAGTTACGAAAGTGGGATGCGAACTCATTCCTTCGTGGTGAAACCTTTGGAGAAGGCTCTCTAATGTCCATGTTGTCGAAAGAATTCCCATAAGTTACGTATACACAAGTGAGCCACCAGATTCTCCCAAATCCACCGACTCCCACCAGCTTGTGCATGGTACAACAAACCGTGGCGTCAACGAGCGGTGGACAGTCAACCAACACTATCCACGGTGGTCGTGTAGCTTCGGGGAGCTTCCAGCAACGCACAAGGTTTGCGTTTCTTGTTAGATTCAGGGAGCCAATCCTATTTTCTTACATTGGAAACCTGCCGACATTTAGGGCTTTCCTTGTTACCAGTTAAATCTTCTCGCGAAGTTTTGGGAAATCGAAATTGTGCTCAGTCCACCAGATCGTTTTTTACATCCCAACGAAGTGGAATGTGAACATATTTACAGTCCTACCGTCCAAAAAATGAGGGAGGAAGATATTTTGTGACCCTTCCGTTCCGAGAGAGTCCTGAGACGGGAGATTCTTTTCAGAATGCCTAACACAGGCTTTTGAAGTTCGATAACCTAGTCAGAAGATATGCTGGTTGCCCCATCATCAGATCATTGCCAAGTATATTTAGCAGTGCATTTGTCGGAGATTTCTTGCGTCGACCGTTCTGAGCCACATGAATATTTTATTCCCCACCACGCCATATTCAACCAGTAAACTCAGTCTACCATGTGTAAGTTGTTTTCACAAGCGCAAAATCAAATACGTATAAATCGTTGTGGTCTGAAATTACAAAGGGATATTTTTGCCCTCATTTTTAGGCTCTTTCACTTTGCCATATACAAATACGGCTCCATCCTTATGGTCTGATATATCAAAAAATTTTGTGGCGATTTCGACCCAATGATCATATTAAGGTTTGTGAATTGAACTCGGTCGTTTTTTATTTTATTCTTGTTTCGTCTTGTGGCTCCCTGGGTCTGATCATGTAGATTAGAAGCACGCCCTAGCACCAAGCGTACTTTCCGCCGTTGCTCTGATTATTGACCCCCTGGCCTTTTTGGCTCCTCTCACATTCTATTTGAACGTTTTGATCAAAAAATTGTGGAAAGAAGGGGCAGAATGAGATCACCACCTTTTCCGAGATGTGTCCACTAGGAAAGGGTGCAAAACGAGTTGTCACAGCTGTCTATGAAAAAAAATCCCGGGTTTTCTGGACATCCAAAACAACGCTGTATTGGTTCTGCGATGAGTCCGAAACGGATCTGGGGCTGTGATCTTCTTGAAATGTGAAACCAATCCCCCTCATGTTTCATTAGTCCGTATAAAAGTCAAGGTTTCCCCGAAGGTGTTGTCCATTCCGCGGCTTGAGTTATGCGCCGCTTTGTTTTTGGCAAAATTGTTCTCCGTGGTGTTGAAGATTTTTTCACAACGGGATCTGAGGCCTGTGTCGTTTGCGTTTTCCTACTCGATGATTGTGCTTTGCTGGCTCAATTCGGGGCCTAGTCATTGGAGTACGTTTGTTGCCAGAGTGGCGGAATTGAATACAGGTGTGGACGCTAAAAGGTGGGCTCATATAAGGTGTGTCGAAAAACCTGCCGGTTGCTTGTCACGAGTTGAGACCTGAAGAATTTATACTCATCCCTATTGGTTCAAAAGTCCTGATTGGCTATTAAAATCCCAGTCGGAATGACCAATCTAATCTTTTGAAGGTGATTGTCCAGAACAAAACAAGGGGTTTTGTGGCAGTTCGCCCCGTGAATATTTTTATTGAATTTATGAAAAATGTCTCCTCGCTGCAGAAATTGATTAACAGCATGGGATATTTGTTACGATTTGTTCGTTTACTTCCTTTGGGAGTTCGTATTACTACAGCAGATTGTGACTAAAGCGAAGTGATGCTCTGTAAAATTGTGCAGGCCCAATATTTCCTACCCGAAATTAAGGCATTGGAAAAACGACGCTTCGGTTCCCAGTCCATCCAGTTGGCCCTATTTTTACAGGAAGGAGTTCTACGATTTGGAGGAGATTGAAAAACGCCGGCGTAGACTGAGAGTACTCCTACCCCATAATTCCTTCAAAAAATGATCATTTTGTAACACTTTCGTTTTTACCATTTCAAGCATCTTCATTTAGGTTCCTACCTTTTGATGTCCTTATTAAGGCAAAGGTATTGGATCATTGCGGGTCGCACCGCCTAGCCGTGAGGAAGATGCTGCGATATTACAATGTTTGTTTTAAGTCCAAACCTAAGGCAGGACTTCAAACCCGGCTATGTCAAATTTTTCGCCATGTCGGGTATAAATAGCCAAGCCTTTTTCCATACCGGTGTAAATTATGCCGGCCCATTAACCCTAGGGATAGGGATAAAAGAGGTGGCCACAAGGCCTACTGCACCTCGAACTGAATAGATCTATTGTGCTCCCCTGTTATTTATAACTCACTGGCCAGCTTCAGGTTATTGACCAGCCTCCACAGATATGCCAGCGGCTCCTTGGTGTTAGGATTTTGTGGTCTCCTCCTCTTCCTGGCAGTATCTGCACGGTGTTTGTTCTGTCTGTACTCCTACCCGGTGCATGTGCTTTCTTAAGTGGCTACCAGAATCCTGGTTCGGTTGCGGTTGCCCTCCAGTAATTCTTTTGTAAGTTTTGTGGATGGTCCTTCTATGAATCTCTTCGCGTGCCTCATACCTGCGGTATTGTTCCACCAGGTTTTGGACTCATTAAGGATCCGTTTCAAGATGTATCCTCTTTTGTGGCAGGCTGCTAAGCCGCAGTACGGTTCAGGACCCAGAGAGTCCATGTTGGCCCTCCCTTTTTGGCCAATATGCCAACCTTTTCGTGGCCTTCATGCCCCGAATATCCGGGGACACATGCCAGGGTAAGGTCTTTAGTATCACTGCCTTCCGTCCGGGCCTCCATGCAGTTCCAAACACTCTTTGCCTGTGCCTACTAGGGCCCTAAGTGCTTCCTGACTGTCAGAGAAAATGGCTATCTTCCGGGAATATATTCTTAGCCTTTTTATTTCTCTGGTGCATCTTTCAATCGCTATGATTTCAGACTGGAAAACTGTAGCATATTTACCTAGGTTTACCGTCAGTTCGGTATTGGGTCGTCCAAGGTCGTCGGCGAAAGCCTGTGATTAAAAAGGCAACAAAACTGTTTGGTTTTGTATTTGCCTGCCCACAAAAGCAATCTACTTTGAATTGGAGTTCTAATTGTCCCTTGTAATGTTTTTAGCCACTTTTAAACATTTCTGGCCCATGCTTTTTCGGTGAAATATTTCGATTGTGGTATGAATATTGTTGGAGCTAAGAAGCGATTAGATGAGCTGCGAAGGTTGAAGGGTTGCCCAGAATTTCGTCAAACATTATCGACCGGATTAAGCGAATTTAAAATTCAACCCCCTCCCCCCATGCGCCTCACCTCGGAGGGATCTGGTAGGCCAATATAAAGTGGACGAAATCGCATCTCTTCCGAGTAATTGGAGACCAACTATCAACTTAGGAATTAAGTACACTTGTGATTCAAATAACGTCGGCATTAACGCCAACTCATTTTTTGAGTCTTGCCCTGCTGCACGCATACCAGCGATGGATCGGTGAAATCTACCGACCGATTAAATAGATTCCTTAGTTCTGGATCAATTGCTACAGTCATTTTGGAAGCAGTGGCGGGCCGAGTATTTCCATGAAGTTCAAGTTCGATGCAAGTGGAATAAATCGGCGGGGCCCCTTAAAATCGGGACTCTGGTCGTCGTTCGTCAGGACTCTACCCCTCCGTTGAGTGACCGATTGGTCGTGTGGACGGAAAGAATGAGGTGATTCGTGTGGCCGGGTGAAATTAAGGGGTGGTATTTCCCAGCGTCCGGCTGTAATATGTCCTTTACCCTGGCAATAAATTTTATTCTGGGGGCAAGAGGCGGCCAGGCGATGGTCCTTTTTTAAATTGTCGTTAAACGATTAAATTGTCCTTAGGCTTATTCGGGCGATAATTACTTATCCTGCGTTTCCTCATCGTGGATTGTCAAAAATTCGACAGTAAGCTCCACCACTAGGTAAGGGTTTTCCATACAGATTTTCCTTCTAGCAATTTCTAGCGGAGGCTGAGTTAATTTTCAATTATTTTATTGTACTTGCCATCGTTCGTTATACAGTCCAATACATCGCCGGACCAGTTGTATAGTATTGCTTAGTCTGAACTTCCAGTTATGCCATTGCGTACAGGCCGATATATCTTAACGATTGATAGAAAAATCACCTTTTTTTATCCCATTTCGTGAGCGTGTCATGATGTGGTGAAGTGTATTCTTTATTTGATTTCTAAGCGCTATTGTTCCGATTGAAACCTGGTAGATTTTGTGTGTTCAGAGCACATACAGCTTTCAAACGATACCCCCTTCTTCGAAAAAGTTAATTTTTGACCAAAATATGGCCTACAGAAATTTTTTGCGTATTTTTTAAAATTCAATTTTATGCCAAAGCTTCACAAACAATACATTATATAGAATTTTTTCAAAAAGTTTTGAACTAACTGCAGGATAGCGGGATACAAATACACACAATTGCTATTTCGAAAGGCAAGATACTCATGTGCAGTTTTTGAAATGTTGTTTTGATGCTGAATTTAACGGTACAATCGGTTTTCAGTGTGGAGCCACCGTTCTCCAGTTATTCGCAAAAAACTTTCCAAATGTATGTTCGAGTCCTGCTTGTGACACTAATTTTTTGTCCCAACCGCACTTCATTTTAAAATTAAAAACCAATTTAAATAATCACTTCGGTTAACTATCCAATCAATTTATCAAACCTATTTCAGTGAACATATAATATATAATCTGTTGGATTCGTCAGGAGCGGTCAAGAATGAGAAGTTTAGAAAAATGCCTATTTCATTTTTTTCCGACGTTTCACAACAATTTCCCACATCACTAATATGATACACAAGAATAGCACCACACTTGGTGCCTTGAATATGACGAAACGTCGGAAAAAAAACGTGATAGGTGTTTTTCTAAACTACTTAATTCTTGACCTTCCTCACGAATCCACCAAATTATTTATTAAAGAAAACACATATATTTTTACTACTCCATTTGCGTTTTTACATGAGTAAAAATTGAAGGGGAGTTGATGAGAATTAGAGGATCTATGAGAGTTTTGTATAACCTGTTAATCTAAATTGGCGTGCGCCATGATATTACGACGTCCATTTTTTAGATAAATAAAACATTTTATCATTTTGCTAGTTTATTTGTACTATTATCACAATGCATAATAACGATCGTCAAAACATAATTTTTTTGCTCATGTTTGGACATTTTGAAGTGTCGCCTACAAAATGGCTTAAATTGCAGTGGGATTGGTTGAAAAATATTTTTTAAATTGCATTTCTCTTGTACTTACTATATGTTTATTTTCACAGCGTTGTCGCGAACGATAATACTGATTTAAATACGGTCAAGTATGTCATATCAGAGGACGTCGATGCTGTCGCCATGGTATAAATTTGACTACATATTTACGTTTTTAAGCATTATAATGGCATTTAAACATTCGTACAGGTGAAATCAGATTATCCAGATGTGATTGGTGTGAGACCTGAGTGGATATGGGAGTCACATGACAACAATAGAGCACTGCCTTATACGGACTTCGAGATATAGATGTTACTGGAGATTTTCTTTGTTTAATCAACAGTTTGTTTCTGGCCATTAACATTGTTTGAAAATGAAAAGGCTAAATATTATGTAAAAATTGTCCTAACTGAAATAATGTGACAAATTAGTCATTTTTTCTGTTATTAATTAAAGAAACTGTGTCTTGCGAACTTTGAGATAGAGCTTTTACTCGAGGTTTTCATTGTTTGATCAACAGTTTTTTCTGCTCTATTCTTTGCAAATGATAAATATTACATAAAACTGCCCTAATAATACAATCATTTAAAAAAAAAGTTTGCATTATATTTTAATAATGTGACAAATTAGTCATTTTTCTGTTGTAAATTAAACCAGTAATTTCACGGCGGTTGAAGATTGTATGCCATTTCATAAATGGAAATGTTGATTGTGTACAAATAAACTTAACACATTTTATTTATATATATATTTTTACATAAATTTTGTTTCATAAGGAATCCTATGTTTTAATACACTGTCTGTTACAATTAAACAGTCACAACATCCAACTTTTTTTCTTATTTTTTACATTCTACTCTGCTTCTTGACAATTGACTAGGGAACATTTTGCAACTCTAATGTTTTTTTCTTTACAATTATCCACTGTCAGAGTGGACGACGACGATTTTCTCCTCTTCGACTTCAATTTTAAGAAAACTGGCCTCTGTTTTACGACGTGACATTTCGTTCTCAAAACGTTTTCTTTTTGTCTCCGACAAATTTGAGATTTTTGCTATCAGAGCAGTCTGTTCGTTAAAAAAATAATATACACCACATATTACATCCAGTTCGACAAATATACAATTTTTTTTCTTCTTTTGTTTCGATTGTTTTTTCCATTGTGTTATTCGTTGGCAAACAAATTTACTGGCATTGAGTGCTGTACATGTTAGTAAAATATAATAATAATAATTTTAAAAAAATTTACTATAATATTAAAAGTGAACACAGGGATATTATATACTAAATTCTATAAAACTCATAAAGCACAATATGTCCTAAATATTTTTACATCAACTTTTTAATTTTGTTTGATTTGATCATTTATCCCACTAATGGAGCCACATTTTTTTTGTGGAGTATTTCGTAATCTGATTAAACATTTTTTCATATTTGTAGCACATTCGAAACAATACAAATTTTTTTTGTCAACATTACTTGGTAACTATATGATTAATAATCCTTATAGAAAATTATACGATTTGATATTTCTTGCATTTTCCTGACAAGTTTCCGTACTGTAACAAGTGCACCAAGGAGTAACCCTATTCCCTTTGGAAGTGGTTTATGTACTGTAGATATGATTAAATCTTGTACACGCACACACCTATATATTTATATAAACATATATATTATATGTACATATATCTGTGTGTTTTTATCACATAACACTATACACATAACAAATAGAAATTAGAACGGGCAGGGATTTGGAAAAGTCAAAGGCATCATGGATCTTGGGGTGGCAAGCTGCTTCTTCACTTTAGATCAGACAATTTGACAGTTAAAAATGAATATGAGCAAACTTAATTTACTTTTTTTTCACATAATGCGTACTGCATTATTGACATTAACAGGTAGTAGTGAAGAAGAACTTTAAACATTTCAGGGTTTGTTTTTTTCAAGTGTTGTTTTCTTTTACAATTAGACAATTTTTTTTTGTTGAGTAAGGATCGGTGTCGATGACACATTTTGTGATCCTCCTTAAATTTCTGCATCACTTCATTTTTTTTTCAGTTGATTCCGCCTCACGAGTTGTATCCTTTTACGAGAGTGTCTATTATCAGTTTTATTGTTACTTTGTAGATTGACTCGACGTTTTCGGAGTAACGGTCTCCCAGGGTCATTTTCACTGCTTCCAGGAATGGTTTTTCAATTTTCTGAAACAAACAAATATTATTGTGAGGTTTATCGATGTGGTGTGCGGTCGCAAGTGTAATTTGGACGTTACTGATCATATTTAGTCTAAGTATGCTCGCCTGTTTTGTCTGTCAGAAGACGGTAAAATTCGTGAAAATAATATATATATTTTAATAGAAACATTCATTGGCATATCGTGACAGTTTTGATAGAGCGATTATTAACAATCTATCCAGATAACTGATTTGCCCCATTTTTTTTTCCATTTAAAATACGTAAAATACATACACACTCATTCTTACGTAGCATATTCATTATTGTCAATTTTGCATCATTTGAATAATTATATATTACCAATTTTCGTAAATGTATGAAGAATTTCATGGAATATTATCACAAATTATGGGGAAATGTCCATGAGGTTGAGTGGTAGAAAAGATAACGTCTACACACGCATGCCACACCTCACGAAGTTATAAAAGGGACTTGACTTCATAGCCTAATCCGCTCGGACTAATGGATTTAATAATTAAACTGAAGTATATCTTTCGATACTTCGAAAGGTGATGTTGAGGTGGGAGGTTGGTGTCCTAGCGGATCGAGGTATCGTGCTCAAGTGGTAGAGTAGCCGCGTATTTAGCCAAAGGTCGTGGGTTCGAGTCCCGCTCGTGACACTGACGTTTTTATCTCAACCAATACCTTTCATAAATATTAATTAATTTAAAAAAGATAATTGGTCAATCGGACCGCGAACTGTAATGGATGTAATAATTAAACTGAAGTATATCTGCTCGAAAGCTCTCCGTGACCATTTCATTTGTTCGCCGAGAATCAAATAGATTACACGAGTTTGAAATATGGCAAATAGGAGAGAAAATTCGAAAGGTGAGGTTGGTGTCCTAGCGGATCGAGGTCATGATAGTTCAAGTGGCAGAGTAGCTGCGTATTTAGCCAAAGGTCGTGGGTTCGAGTCCCGCTCGTGACACTGACGTTTTTATCTCAACCAATACCTTTCATAAATATTAATTAATTTAAAAAAGATAATTGGTCAATCGGACCGCGAACTGTAATGGATGTAATAATTAAACTGAATATATCTGCACGAAAGCTCTCCGTGGCCATTTCATTTGTTCGCCGAGAATCAAATGGATTACACGACGTTTGAAATATGGCAAATAGGAGAGAAAATTCGAAAGGTGAGGTTGAGGTGGGAGGTTGGTGTCCTAGCGGATCGAGGTCACGATAGTTCAAGTGGCAGAGTAGCTGCGTATTTAGCCAAAGGTCGTGGTTCGAATCCCGCTTATGACACTGACGTTTTTATCTCAACCAATACCTTTTATAAATATTAATTAATTGACTAATGATAGGTAAATGTTCATGAGGATAAGTAGTAACAAAGATAACGCCGACATACGCAACCCACCCCTCACGACCTTATAAAAGAGACTTGAATTCATAGAAAGCACCCAGATCCACTATTGATGATGAGTAAATGCCTATGTGCTTGAGTAGTGACAAAGTCAACACATGCACCTCACCCGTCACACACATGCTTTAATGAAAGCCACATGAATTTATATAAATCGCTGATGATGGGAAAGTGCTGAAAGGCCAACCCAGAGAGAACAGGGAGACCAAAATGGTCGGTAACGGCCAAATTACTAAAAGTATTGATATCATAGCAGTACAAAGAACATTATTATAAAATGTAAAATAAAGTTAGTTTAGTTTTGATTGTGAAAATTAACAAACATATCAATTATGTACTAATTATGTAATACAAAAAAAGACTAATAATGGCACATGATTTCTTTTATAATCCGAATTATGAAATGCGTTCACTGGGCATCCAGGAAGTGCATTCTGATTATTGTTCGCGACGCGGTTTGTAACGCTCAACGTGACAGTTGGGGATAAAGTTTCGACTTTAAAACTTTTTAACCTTTTATACTTGAATAAACGGTTGTGAAGTAGGATATAATAGTGCTTATTAAACTCCAAATTTTATTTTTGTTGATTGTATCCAGCAGAAATATGTGAACAGATATATATGTATATATGTATATATATATATATATATATATATTTCCCTTTGCAAGACGGATTTGAAGGTGTTTGTATTTATGGATTCTTAAGCAAAGTGCACTACGTAAATGTAAAGAAAGTTTTATTGATCCAGCCACTTGTATTGCAGGTCATGTCAAACGGGGTAATTTACCGGAGGCATCTATCAGGCCGTGTGCCCTGTATGTGTCGAATTAAAGCATAAATCTCCCTCCCTGCAAGATCCTTTCAAAGGGTCGATACCAGTGATTTGTGCACACGGTTTGGTGCACACCAGGTTTTCGAGGATCGTTACATTATCGAACTGTCAGGGCTCTCAAGAACAAGTTAATATGTCGGGCGCGCGGCAGACATCGTTTCTTTCGGTTGACTTGGCCAAGAAATTGCACGAAACATACCTTTAAGGAAGATGAAAATACGGCTATGTGGAAAATTAAAATCGAAAGTTTCTTCTCTCCTTCTACACTCTTTGCTCTTTTAATCATTAACAAATTCACAATAAGCTTAATTCAACAAAGTTTTGAAATCCATTGCCCTTTGACGTTTATATTTTTGTTTTGCATAATAAAATCTGCTTTAAATGTAAGGATTTTAATTTTGCCTCTAACAATCAATCTAAGCTTTTAAATCCATGTTTGGTGTTATTTTTTACATCTACAGCCTGCCCAACCCTTCTGTAAAATTTCAAACTGCCATACAAACCGCAATTGCCGAATGGATCATGTTAAAAACTCAACTGGTGGAACAACACACCAAACAGATACAGGCAAGCGATTTCACAAAACTTACTACAGAGACCTGGTTCAGCAATGCCGGACAATATAATGTGCCATTGCTTTTTGTTAACATTATTAACTTTGTCATTTGAAAATATTCAGACGAAATGATCATTTTTCCAAGACAAAGAGGGGAAACAATAGTACACAACGTTAACAATAACACCATAAAAATAGTAAACAAAGGTGCAGGACAAGGAGGTTTCTGCGCGTGCAAATAAGATAAAACTAGTAGAGATAATTGAGAAGTTAATCATGGGCGCTGATAAAAGGTAGTCAAGATATTAAGGTAAAATCAACACGATGGACGCAGAGCCAAGTCATACCCATGGCCTGAGTCGACTGGACCTCGCACAGCTAGGCTACATTGCGACATATGCGACTCAAAACAAGACCACCTCCGTAGTTTCTGCCAAGACGAAGTACATAGATGCCACTGTAAAGGCCTGGTTAGAAAAAGACTTCTACTACCGGGCAAAAAAAGCTTATTATATTATAACTGAACGATTGGGTTATGGAGGCTAAGAGAAAGCTCGGTTCTTGATCTAAATCTGTTGGAACTCGTCCAGTCCAATGATCATGTCGATATGCCAGGTAAGTCTCGGTTAAACTGACTCGCCTTACATGCACCTGCTGAATCGAACCTGAATAAAACTGGGGTTTATTGCCCAATCTATTGTTACTCGGTTATTCATTTCATAATCGAAGCAGCTTAATAGAAATTTGAACATCTTGAAAGTGGCAGCGGACATACGTAAGTTCTGCCAAGAAGAAGGTGAAACCTCAGTATATACATGTAATAGTAAAGGATTGCCCAGAGGTTAGAGCTCACATGCAAAAGAAAATCTCAAAACAAGAAAATATAACTGCGGAGTCACTATCAATACAATGGAAACAATCCATATCTATAAAATATCTGTAAAAAAGCTACATCACAATATTCCTATCCGATGGACTCAGAATAAAAAATCTTAAGCTACCGCTTACAGAGGTACTCTTTCCTTGATTCAATTGGAACGTGCCCAGTAAGTTGTTCATGAAAGCATCGCCTAATCTTACTTCAAACCTGCTAAATCAAAGCTAAGACAACTAAGTTTTATTGCATTTGGTTAATTGAATCATTGTCATCTTAACACAAACTTGAAATATCAAATGACAAAAAAATAGCCAAGAAGAAGAAACCTCAGATCATAAATGTTACAGTAAAGACCAGACAAGAGATTTTTAGTCAAGGGTAAAGCAAGCTCAATCCAGCAAAGTATAAATTAAGAGTCACTATCAGTGTATTTTTGTAGCTTTGATGATGATTTTATAAATCGAAACTAGTTGGACAAAATGAAATTTCATTTAAAATTTCCTTTGTAACAAATCGTGGAAAGAGAGACAGGAAAAAATAACAGGTCATTATCAGGGTAATGGAGGTTCATAAAAGGTCAATAGGTAGATAGCTATAAAAACAGCTCTAAAATTATATTTCAATAGGTGTGGTGATTAGTGACCGTTAATCAATAATTATTAAGAAAGAAAGAAATTCAGAATCTATATATTTCAATATGATGGATACAGAGCAAGAGATGTTTAACCACCTCACATTGATCCTTCATTTGATTCGTCAAGAATGACTCGCCTAAACTTGCTTCAGACTTGACATACCAAAGCCGAAGAAAGTTCACGATCATTGCATGCCTATTAATGAAAATATTGCCAGCTCTTAGCCCCTTGATAATATTGGGAATGATAGAAAACAGGTTCTGTCAGATTTTATATGCCTGGAAGGAAAGAACTGAATAATAATCTAAAATCAGCAACAACAGCCGGACGAGGTGAACGTGTGATTACTGACAAGGGTGTATAAAGGATCACAGCCTCAGCATAACCAAACTTTTCTTTACGTAGGATGAATGTTTATCGATTTCACATACAATCAAATGGATCGAAACCAATAGGACTGCTTCTTATATATATTAGGATGATACCTTACATAAGTCCTAGTGTGAATTTTCATCAGGGTTATCCAACTTGTTTCCACGTAAACAGACTGAATATTGTTAGGGAAAACAAAAGCATTCCGAACTACAGAGGAAATGAATGAGTATTTATTTAGTTTAATTGAAATTGGATTTTTTTAAAGTCGAAATATGCAATCTATAGAGGAGTTGGAATCCGGTGTTATTATTAAT